CCCCCCCCCCCCCCCCCCCCCGGTAATTGTAGCATTTCCCCTTTGCTAAACACTAGGGTCCCGGCTGCCCTAGGGTCTGTTATTGGATCTGATCTATAATAGTGGCAAGACATGATCTTGATCCCATAAATTTTCAACATCATCATATTTCATATCCTAACTTAAGACTCTTTTGGTCTTGCATCCTTTCAGTATCCCACTTCAAAGCCAGCATCTCCCAACCAAACCAAAGAAGATGAGAAACTGGAAGGAAATGACACCTCTGTTAAAACAAAAAATCTAAGACCTAAAAAGGAACACCAAGTATAGACGCATATACACTCATCTGTACACCCTGCTCCCCTACTACTTTTTACGTCCCCGTTTGGCCCTCATTATCTCAAAAAAAATAATTTATTCTCTCTTATTTTCAACCACACAATCCTCCATAAAATAATATTACACGTAAACCAAAAACTTTTCCTACTTTTTTAACCACACATTCTCCAAAAAAATATTATTCCAAAAATTATAATTTGAAATAATGGGGGCCAAATGGGGGCTAAGTGTGACCTAATTTTTCTACTTGCGTAGTTTTAACAGAATCCTTTTTCAAAAGGTACGCTGGGAATTGGATTTGACTACATGAGCTCAATATTTCATACCATTAAGCATGGCACAAGCAATTTGTTAATACCGGTAAATGACCCCCACAGATAAAAGAACAGCACAATGCATGAAAGTCATTAGTAAAAGGCATGGTACTTGAGAAGTCAAAAAGACCTAAGGATGAATTGATATACCTATGTATAAGAAAGTGATGAAAGATATCAGGCTACCAATGACAGACAAAAGCCACAAAGCAATCACCACCTGCAAGTTTCAGAGATATAATATTCTGTCCCCTTATCTGGAGCCATTCAGTAAAGTTGCAATTGTGAGGAAAGCTACACATGCATTTTATTGTTTTGTTAAATCAGTAACATAAAAAATGAAAGCGGCTAAATGAACACCTCAATATGCTGATCCACTCCCCACAAAACGTGAGTTTAGATACTTCTGTCATTTGACATTATGAGTCAAGTGCACAGAAGAATTTTGTTATTATCATCTCTTTTTCTCTATAAGGAAAAAAAGAAGAAGATAAAAATAGATACTAACATCTGGTTCACCCTTCAGTTCCATATCAGTGTGTCAATTCTTCTTTGATTCAAAGGAAGAAATACCATTCGAATAAAACCATCAAAGCAGAAAATTTGATTTCTATAATAGGAAATGTAATAACATCATGAAAACACAGATGCAACTCTTATTTAGATGAACTTAGCCTAGTGGTGATTGTCCTCACCTCCAAGTAAATAGTAAGACTCATGTGTTTTGGCGCCTTGACCCACCATCAAGAGAGGGAATTCTGGAGCTTTATGCAAGTATTTGGAAGACATAAAAAGTAGTGCAAAGTAATTGGTGTCCAGTTCAACACGCAATCAGTAGTTTAGGGTTGACAAGTAACATTGACTAAGCAAGTAGATCAATACATTGTAAAAGAGAACTGACTCAAACAAAGAGTTATATTGATGAAAGCTCAGTTATGAAACCGCCGATGATAATATCATCAACTTTGATAGTCTGCAAGAAAGGTTGGTACTAATTTGAGGACAATATAGAATAAAACATTCTGCCTAGACTCATTCCAAAATGACCATAAAGTTTATGAGAAGAGGTTAAGCCTACTGAAGTGCCCCATACAGTTCATGAAACATGAAACTAAAACTAAACTATAATAGTAGTAGATGGTACAAGCAGTAGTCGTAGCCAAGTTATCATAAAGAATTATATCCCAAAAACAAACCAGGGTTGAGGTAGGTGATAAATGGACTACACAGACGCACTTGTCAGTCCAACATGGTCAACATGATGGTAGTGACTGCATGTACCTACCACATACTAAGTTGATAGTGAATTCAGGCACTGAAGAAAATTGGACTGACAGTTTATAACCCATATTTTATAGAATTCAATAAGTTTTCACATTTTCTGCAGCCTACAGAGCAAGACGAAATGATCATAAACCTAATGTTTGTCCTAAAAGTTGTCATCTATAAGCATACCTTTCCCCGTCCCCTCCCAAGCACATTTTTGACATCAAACTCTCAGCATTTAAACTGAATTTGAAGTCCTGACTTCTGTTATTTATTTATACGACTACTTTACTTAGGGCTTGTTTGATAAAGATTTTCTGAGAAGTGATTCTCTGAAAAGTGTTTTTTTTTTTTTGGTGTGTGTGCGCATGTGTGAATGTGTGGCTAAAAATTAGGGAAAAGTAATGGGGAAACATGAAAAACAAGGGCTTAATATAGTAATAGATCTATATTCTTCTAGCAACTAAAGAAAGTGAGAGGAGAGGGAACAAGATTATAGCATTCATTTCATCCAAAGAAAAAACATATATTTCTCTCGACCTTTATAAAGGTTAGCTATCACTAACCACGAAGAAAAGTCTGAAGTCCTTGCCGAGAGTAATGTCATGAGCCACAAGCAGCATATAATTAACTTTGACACGAAATGATGCAGCAGCATTGTTGACCATTTCTTCTGAGAGGACTAGTTCAGGTAGTGTTTGCTGCTGTCTGAGAGAAGAGGAGATATCTGAGATGATTTCTAAGTAACCAACGAAAACTTAAAGTCAACAACATATTGGATGTAGATTATCTGTTACCTTTTTCTGAAAACAGTATAATTGGCACGGAGAAACAGCAAGACAATCAAAACCAGCAAGACGTCAGAGCAAAGTGATAAGAACGATAGCCCTGATCTCTCGACTAATAGCCAGGCAACAGTTGCAACGACAATGATGCCACATGAAACATGCCGTCGTCTCCACAGTATAACATCAGCAGCTAAGTAACGAAGTGAGAAAATGAGTACATCAAGAAGCAAATTGTAGAAAAACAAACTTGCTCCTTAGACACCACAGTCCCAACTAATTCATATAGGATGAAGAAAATTAAAATATGGGCAGAAAATTATGGAAATAAAAATAAAAAATCACGTGACTGCTTCTTCCAGGTCATGCCTATTTCCCATTATCATAATTTTTCTGCTTCACAGTATTGCATTTCTCTTCAAGTCGTCAATGTAGAATACATTTTAAATCATCTTCAATTTAAGGATCTCTGAGAATCTATAATGCTTGTAGCTACAGAAAGAAAAATATCTTGCTAGAAGAAAATCCAAGATTCGAGGCTTATCAAATGGCATAATTTCACATAGTATCTTTGCTTAGACAAAATTTTTCGGGCCACCAAAAGACAATGTAATGAATTAGATTTATTGTTAGAGAGCTTGCTACCAAACAACTAGAACATCAAATTCAGAGTGTGTTTGCCACCTTCTTGGCAATGATGTTACTATTAGCATCAAAAGTGCACCATGCAAATCACTGTAATATATTAGGAAAAAAAAAAATCTATAAAAGAAAAACTGAAACCCAAAAAGCACAAAACTTCGCTTTAACCATTAAAACTAATGTGTATAATTTTATAACTACTCATTGTATCTTGAACATTGAGGCCAAAATAACAGTTTACAGTTACCCATTTTCCAGGAATAGAAAGGAGAAACCACATTGTGCCAATAAGGTTTCTTAAACCTACCAATATGCCCTTCTCTGTGGACTGTGGTTAGTTCGTTGGAAAATTGAATCTTCAAAAAGTCTGGATGTTATATGCACTGTCGTTGTTCTTATAATGTGTTTCCCACCAGGTCGCCCATCAGTGTTAAAGTAAGGATTTGTCATTTACCCTGGCTGTTTATAGAACAACCCCCCTATACTTGAACCTCAACTAAATGCCAATGCTTAAATAATTTATTTTAAATCACCCTTTTGATTGAGTACACCATTGATACCTCTTATTATGGTATACACTTTTGGGAGGCGCTCATGCAAGAAGAATGGCTACAGTACTCTCTCTCTCTCTCTCTCTAATTTGATTATCAATAAAATAAGAAATTATCTTTATGTATCAATTTTTACATCTCTGCCGGTGGGATAATTATTGCCAAACCTTATCGACTATATTTCATTTGCAGGTAACAGAGTAGTTGAACAAACCTTGAATAAAAAATCCTGAAGGTTTGCAAGCAGAAAGCAGTTGCATGTTTATTCCAAAGTGGAGAATTCGCCTAATAGTAACATGTGATTCCTTTAAAAAGCTTTCTGTTGAGTTTTCTTTTCATTGAATCAAAATTCAATCAAGTAGAGCACACTAAGTTCAATTAGTATATTTGTAGCAAACAAGTAGTTAACTTAATAGAATCAAAGCAAATGATAATGGAAATTTGGGGCTTCCACTGCTCAAAAATATCCAAAAAGTTCTGTAAGTTTCTCTTGTCATGTAAACCAACTCAAATATTTTAACAAGCCGTCCAACTGAATTACATGTACTAAAATCATTCACAAACCACACCAAGATATCTGCCTCACAAATCATACTTAATTGATTTCCACCCATTAAATGTACGTGACCACGTAATTACATAAATTTATGTGTAGAATATTTCATAAATAAAAAATATGCTTAAAATTCAAAGTCGAGAAAGTCTTAGGATTTTTTCGTGAATAGTTTCAATTACCTTTGCCGCCACCCATCATTTGATGAACAGTTGCCTGACGGCCGAACAATTTGTACGAAGAGCTCGTCGATGGAGGATCGTTGATTCTCCCCTCTCCATTCGGCTCTACACTACACAAATCTTCTGAATTCAAATTCTCCATAACTCTATTCATCGGAGTAAAAATGTTAAAACACAAAATTAATCACCGAAAAAACAAAAATTCAACAAAATCGGAAGTTGCAAACCTGAAATTCAATTCTCAAAATCTAAAATGAAAGGCAATGTTAAAAAACTGATAACAGAAATCACCAAAGTGATGTTGTTTTCTTTAATTGAAAAGTTTTTGAAGGCTGCTTAGACATTGACGTGACAATTAAAATATGTATTTTGTGGGAAATGCAAACGACGTCGTTGTGTTAACGATTTATATTTCTTTTTATGATTTTTTAAAAGTAATTTTCGCCTCTCTCCCCGTCTGTCTTTCTATATACCAACTCATTTCTCCATCTTTCTTCAGATACAATCAGCAATGGCTCTCAGAACCCTACTAACCAGAAAAATCCTAGCAAATTCACCGTTGGGGACGCTAGGGTTTCGCGGCCTGCAGACTTTCTCGCTGCCCGATCTACCGTATGACTACGGGGCCCTAGAGCCGGCCATTAGCGGCGACATAATGCAGCTGCACCACCAGAAGCATCATCAGACTTACATTACTAATTACAATAAGGCCCTTGAGCAGCTCGATGACGCTGTGGCCAAGGGCGACGCTCCCGCCGTAGTCAAGTTGCAGAGTGCAATCAAGTTCAATGGCGGAGGTTCTGCTTACCCCTTATTATCACTTGTTTAAACTGTTTTTAGGATATAAACGTGTTTCAGAATGGCATTCTCGTATATCCAATTTGAATCTGAATTATCTAATTTATAATCGTGTCTGGCATTTTGGAACTGGTTCATAATTGTACTTTGAATACCCAATTCAAATTTGAATGGAAAGGAGCGTGTTTCTTTTAAAATTTTGATAAATAAATTTCATTTCTTTTTAAGAGTATAGAGATTAGAAGTAATGTTTGGATTTACCAAGTGAAATGGATGACCTGAAAACATGTAATACTTTGCACTTCCCTTGAAACGTGAAATGTGATCCAAATATACCTTCATTTGTAATTTCATTTTCCGATGAGTCTTCAATTGTTTGCTTCCAAACATTTTGTCCATCAGTAGTCTTTGTGAAAGTAGAAGTAGAGTTGGTAACTCACATGGTGTCTGCGTTAGGATTTTCTAGAAACCATTTGGTTTTCCAGTGGAATTTAGTCAAGTTCACATTTTACCACTCAAGAAATATCATAGAGAAATTGATAGGCTTCCATTCCTTAATTGCAAATCCGAGATCCTATCTTATTTTATTAAAATTGGCAATAAGTTAAAAAAGGACGACATTGTGATCTTAATTAAGTGCAAATATTTATCCATCCTAGAGATAATTTGGTCAGCTTCTAATATTCTGTAAATCATTTGATTCGTATATCGATATAGTTTCTGTTCCCAAGTAAAGTGTATGTCCTTACACGAATAGAAGAGAAACCTGACTAAATATTGCTGCATGACTTAATTAAATTGGAAATCTTAATAGATTTGTTGTTGAACTGCATGGGGTAGTAAAGAATATCTCATGTAGCATACCCCAAGTTTATTAAGAAAAAAGCTTAGTTTCTTCTTCTTGTAAATAAGTGCATGTTTTCCTATAGTGGTTGTGTTTCATAGTTGCCTGTGACTTGTTTTGTAGTTTCTTGTTCATAGACCATTTTTTTGGTTTCTTCAACTTTTACCGTTATTTAGTTTTGTTAATTGAGGAATATAAAGTATCTTGTCAAAGTAAATTTCTCTTGTTGTTTTGAATCATAAAATTTAGACTCTTCAATTTGGTTCAAACTTATCATTTCAACCACTGTGAAAGAATACCTACAATTCATAGTCTGGTGATATGCATGTCGCCAACCACCCAACAAGCAGAATCCTAGCTACGAAAATGGTTGCTATGGCTAATTTTTAAAATGAATATAGAACACAACAATAGGAAATGTTACATTTAAAATTGAAAAGAAAGTTAATTGAAATAAGCAAAAACACTCGTAACGCAAACAATGTGGAATGGATGTCATTTTCTACTTATGTTTTTTTTCTGAAATTTATAATTTTTTTTTCTGAAATTTATAATATTAGAGGGTTTTTATTTAGCTAGGAAAAGTTCAAGCATATTCCTAGTAAAAAATTGGTGACTCTGTTTTCTTAAGTAAGTTGAAGGTTCTACCTTGCTCTGGCATGGTATTATTTTCTTATGGGATTGTAAATTATTACGCATTTTGGTAATTTTTGTCGTTATATCTATTTTGGTCATTTGATTTTTGAATGTTTTGATAACATCATGTTTCTTTATTGGATGAAATGGAGAAATCTTACATGGATTGTATGTGATATAAAAACGTTCCTGAAGTTAAAGGAGTTCTAACGAACAATTATTAGACTAGTTATACTTTATGATGCAGTGTGTTGGGTTGTTAGGTAGCATGGATGTGTGGCTATGCTAGAATGAAATTAAGAAATAAAAAGTGGAGGTCACATCATTTGAGGTTAAATTAAAGAAATGACGAATTAGCTGGTTGGAGCACATGTTGCATAAATCTAAAGAAACTCGTGTGACCTAGTACAACACATTATAAGAGTATGAAGTAAACAAAAATCAACATGGTTTGATGGGCTGCAAATGACCATTAAAAAGATCATCAGCAAATTTGGTTCCACTCTCATCCTCCTCTATTAGTTTCTTTCCATTTATTTTTCTCATGATCCACTTCTCCCTTCCCTTTCTCCTTCCCCTTGTGTTATACATCCGTTTTCACTTGTTGTCTTGTCTGTTGATAAGTTAAAACTTCATTTGGGACAGTTGTATGAGGCTGGCACGCTTGCTTCTTGCCTTTTCTTCTCTCTTCAGTTATAGTTACAGGAGGTTAGGGCATGCTTGTTTTTTGCCCTATTATCTCTTCTCCAATCCCCCGTTTTCCTAGTTTGCAGAGTTTGGTTACAATACCCAAAAACTGTTAAAAATTTTCTACATTATAAAAATCAAGTCTAAAAAACTGAGGCTAGTGAACAAAAACCCAAAAATACAAGACAAATGAGTGCATACCTCTGTCACCTTGAGGCTAAGTCGAGGCGGAAGCCTTGAAAAATTGCATTCAAGATGAAAGCTTTGAGCCGTTTAATGAAAGTCTCACACGAGGCATGCCTCAAGGCATAAGCCGCACATTTAAAGGTTTTAGCTTAACCATGGTGTGCTTACACATAATCTGTTAGGTGACCTTGCATTAGTATCAGGACAAACCTTAATGAGTACTTCTTTTCAATGAAATTTTGAATATTTTTTTTCACTATTATAATAATGCGTTGGGAATGAATCAAGATTTCTAATGAAGATAATTATGCAAACGCCAAAGTGCATAAGAAAGCTCAAGATCCTGTAAGCAAGGGAAGTGAGGACTGCAGCTAAAATAATTGAAGATGCTGATTAAATTCGTTAATAGTCCTCTGTTGAGTTTGTAGCCTCTTTATGGTCGACTTTTATGTACAATAATTGTGAATCTTGTCATGGCTACCATTCTGAACTACTACACGCACAAGTGCTACTGTAGTATAATTGTTTTATTTTTGTTTCAAATTTAGAAATTTTGATGTAAAATTCACTATGTTCTTGAGCAGGTCATGTCAATCACTCAATTTTCTGGAAAAATCTTGCTCCTGTTCGTGTAAGTGTTTAATTTCTGATATATTTATCTCTTAAGTAATTTCAATAGGGAATTGGGACAACATTGCATTAACTCTAAAATTATCTCATTTCAGGAAGGTGGTGGTGAGCCGCCCAAGAGTTCTTTAGGTTGGGCTATTGACAATCACTTTGGTTCTTTAGAAGTTTTGATACAGAAAATGAATGCAGAAGGTGCTGCTTTGCAGGGCTCTGGATGGATTGTAAGCTTTGTTGCTTCTTAAGATATGTAGTATTGTTACTTCCCGGCACTTGACCTTTCCTGAAGATGCCTATTGTCATCACTTAATTTTAATTTGTTTAAATTCACATTTATGGGAATTCTTAGTGGCTCGGTCTGGACAAAGAGTTGAAGCGCCTGGTGGTTGAAACTACTGCAAATCAGGTGACTGATGTAGAAATTTTGTTGTCTAGTGATTATTGGGATTTTATATAAAAAGTTAAGTGATCAACGTTTATTCTGTTCAATTTCTTCAGTTTTCTTGCCTTCATAATATGGATTATGTGTTTTGTGGAGAAGGGTATCACATTTTTCATATGAAGCTATATGAAGATTAGGATATTTAGTTTGTCAGTTCTTTTGGCTCCATTGATGTGAACATTACCCAGAAAAGCATTTTCTGAGGAAGTAAAGAAATTAGTAGACAAGAATTTTTTTTTTTTTTTTTTGATAGGTAAGTAGACAAGAAAATTAATTTTCACTTGTTGAAAATTTGTTTAAAATAATTGGAAGGACTGGATAGCTAAGCGAGTACATGTTGGATTGAAACTTCCCCCCATATCATGCACTTTTTGTATGCACTAGAAGCTGGAAATTACAAGAAATTAATTTCTTTCTAGCAAGTATTTTTACGACTTTATTCAAATGAAATTCTAAGAAAAATATATTTCCCTTTCTTAGAAGGAATACCTTTAATTTTGTGTTTGATTGAACTCTCATCCGGTAAAGATCTATATGGGAGTGGCATTTAGGGTCAGGATTATCATATTGATGTATGGTGTGCTGTTCTGTGTGATTCATGCAATACTTTCATTGTCTATTTTGGGGCAGCATAATAGAAGTTGGCTGGTAAAATTGTCCTAAAACCTTGTGGAGTCTGCGGTCTTTCTTCACTCTAAGAAGTAAGAGGAAGGGGGTAAAAGTCGATAACGCCCTAAAAAACTTGATATTGTAATGTGGATGAGAGAAGGTCTGCAATATCCCAAAACACATGCTGACTGCGAATTATGGAAATGACATGAGTTGGCATTCCTTCTTCTGCAGAAATTTCTGCCTTGAACTTAACTTTTAAACCTTTATTAGCTTTGTCATGAAAATCTTTTAGTGGTGTAAGACATCTCTCCCTTCCCACTTAAAAATTCATGTTTAGAGAAGAGAGGAAAAACAGTTGAATCAATAAATTGATGGGGCTACAAGAAGTATGAATTGGCTGATATATTAATAATGGAATAAATAGTTTTTAACAAAATTTAAATAGCCAATTCATATTCAAAAGCTTATTTTGTACTATCATAATCTTATACAAACTTGAGCATTTTGTCAATTTTTTATAATATATATTACGCCTCCAAGCATTTGTTCTCAGAATGATAGTTGTGCACAAATGAGGAGATTCTTGAAGTTTGGTATTCTGTTTATCGGCAAATTTTGCCCTAGTGTGACAGCTAAAGTATTTTCATTTGATGATAGATAAGGAGAGAATTTGAAAACCAAGATGAATGACAAAATTCAATGATTATATTTGTGCCCAAATCTCATATATGTATCCAGTCAATCGTGCTTTCAAAATGAAGATTTCTTGAACAGTTTGTAATAGATTCATGCTACTGTCTTTTCATAAAGTTCTGAACCTCTCTTGCAGGATCCATTGGTTACTAAAGGACCAAATCTGGTTCCTCTGCTTGGTATTGATGTCTGGGAGCATGCATACTACTTGCAGGTAATTCTTTCCTCCTGTACGCTTGCTTTGCATTTTAATAGTTCAAATGATGTTACTTGTCATATTGAGGAGCAAAAGCTCAGATGCGACCACGTTTGTTTTCCGAAATGGAAAACGGAAAAGGCAATAATATTTATGCTAAGTGAACATAAGGAGAGAGAGAGATTGTTTGATAAACTTCAAACGTGAACAACATTCTCGTTCTCTTTTTTCTTTCTACCCATTACATTTTTTGGGTTTGCGTTTTTTAACACAGTTTGCTTTCTCTTGGAACATGGAAGACCATTAGTCTTCTATGCACACCCACACAAGCTGTATCAGTTCTGAGTCTCAACAGTAGATATTCTTTGTTCACATTGGTATTTTCTTTTGATTGCAGTACAAAAATGTGCGACCTGATTACCTGAAGAACATATGGAAAGTCATGAACTGGAAATATGCAAGCGATGTGTTTGACAAAGAATGCCCTTGATGTGGGAAACATTGCAATTCTGAGTACTGTTTTTCGAGCAAATTGGGGATTGGAATCTATACATGTGCCCAGAAATAAAATTGCACGACACTTTGGCTGCCTATTTTTCAGTAGGCTGATAGATGTTATTGTATGTGCAATAACTAAATGAAAGCTATTTTTAGGTTTTCTGACTGCTATTGTAAAGCCCTCAGAGAGTGCTCAAGCATGATCAAACATTTCATATTTGTCTGTTGAAGCTACTGAGTCAACTGTAAAAGCATTCTCTTTATTTTTGTTTCAGTTTTATTTACCTCGGTAAACAATGAAAAATTGAACAAAATCAAAAAATAAAATTTTCGTAACAACGTCCCAGAACAGCAATATGTCAAGACCCATGTTCATGGATTCTGCACCAGATGTAGAAATTAAATGTTTTATAGATCAATCACGAGTTGCTCTACAATTTGAACTCCACAAGTGGATATCAGATCGAATTTTCTAATGAAAAAGTGGGTGTCACAGCAACTTGGGATTCTTCTGTAGACACCGTGTTACAAGAGTTAAAGCATTCCTTGGGCAATGCACTGTGTGTTGCAACCATAACTGCCAAATTCGGCATATGACCTTGTATACCTGAACTAATGGATGTGTATTCGTCACTTCTCTATTGAAGATAATCAATTCTGCTTCCTGTGAAGGCGTAAAGGAGTCATGCCTCAACTACTTGCTGATACTTATTATCATTCTCACTCACTGAACACTGTTGGAGTTCCTTCACAATCCTAACATAATCAGCCATGCATCTCTCTCCAGCAACCACGCTCTCTGAATTATAATACACGACAGTTATAAAATGAGATTAAATAGATAAAAAGGAGGTTTGGACTTGTCAATAATATGAAAGAGACTTCTAACAACGAATTAATTCGAGTTCTAAGTCGAAGAGCTTCTAATTTTGTTGTGAAATCAGTTCCATTCGAATCAGAAGGCACGGTTTTGTTGGTGCTGGCAGGAGTACTCAAATTTTCAGGGACCCATGGCTGCCCCGTCAATGGCCTTTTGGTCATATACAACGCCTACTGGCGAGGTGGGTTCGGTTACGGAGTTGTTATCAGCCACATCTGCAGGGGATACGGAAAAAGTGCAAGTTTATTTGCTCCAGACAATTTTGTTCGAAAATTTTGCACGATTTTTGCTCGATCTCTGTACGAACTTCATAGAAATTTATCTCCAATGTATGAGGTTATAACACTATCCTTGAGACAATTTTCCCCTTGCTACTAGTGTGCAAACAGGTTTCCGGCAAATATTATCTTAAGGAAAGCGTGATAACTCGTGTGCCTTAGAGATAAAATTCTGTTGAGTTCGTGCAGAGTTCGTATGGACTTCGTGCAGAATTTTCGTACAAGTTCTGATGACTCTCTTTTGCTACTCATGCTTCATTTCATTTGTCAAGATCATCAACTTAAGATAATATTCATGTATTGTGATCATCGAAACCTCTTGGTCTCTTGAGCTTCACAGAGTTGAACTAGTGAAAAATAGTTCAAAATGCAGTAAAGATTCGTTTTGAGCTTTCCATATTTCAATATGTACTTCCAACGGGGACTCAACAAATTGATATTTAAGTTCATTTGCAATGCTTTTTTTAATTTTGACATTTTTTTGACTGCTTATTGTTTTGTCTGATGGCTGCCAATAGCATCCAAATTACATGGAAGAACAGATAACGACATCAAGAATTACTGGAACTCGCATTTAAGGAAACGGTTTGACATTGTAGGCGCTCACTAGCCTTCCTCCTCTTCCAAATCTGTGGTTATGAAATCGGAATCCCCATTACCTCGCCACATGGCAGAGTGGGAGCGTGTTCGAGTAGAGGCCGGGCTTGTCTGTCTAAAAATCCAGTGCTTCCCAATCCATCGTCCAAGCTAAATCTGAGGGCGACTTTTTCCTCTGTCAGTGGAATTCTGAAGAAAGGAAGATGAAAAAGTGTCTAATAGTGGGTAAAGTTGCCGATGAGACCATTAGACCAAATGTACATTCCGAAGAAATGAGGATGACAGTAATCAACTTCATTCAGACACTATTCACGCAATTTGGAACTGAGGTTGTTTTTCTCTTCCTAGATGTTCTTGCTTTAGTTGAAAATATTCCCTCGATTAAATATAAGTTTCTCAGGATTAATTGTGAATGAAGAACTGGTCTTTTCTCTGAAATGCATTTTGCTTGCTTGAAATTGAAGATAACATTTTTGAAAGAAGAAATTTAATTAAACAGATCGTGCGACTACTTTTGTTGAAAGCTGAAACTAGATTTATATTTTCATGATTATACAAGTTCTTACTGTAAATAAACTTAGTAATAGAACAGAAGTACCAGTGTAAAACCATAAATATTTTCTTCGCCTACTTATGAATTTTGTTTTGCAGGTTTTTCCTTTTGGCTTGTTTTCTCTAAAGACATACCTTCCTGATGGTGACATTGATCTGACTGCCATTAGTGATTATTGAATAGAGAGGATATTGAGTTCGTGCAGAGTTCATATGAACTTCGTGCAGGGATCGTATGGACTTCGTGCAGAATTGTCCTACAAATTCTGATAACAATCTTTGGTTCTCATGCCATGTTTTTTAATCATCGAAACAACTTGGTCTCTTGAGTTTCAAAGAGTTGAAGCAGTGAAGAATAGTTGAAAATGCAATAGAGATTCGTTTTGAGGTTTCCATATTTCAGTATGTACTCGCAATGGGGACTCAAACAAATGGATATTTAAGTTCATCTGCAATGATTTTCTTAATTTTGACATTTTTTCGATAGCTTGTTGTTTCGTCAGATGACTACCATAGCGTCCAAGTTACCGGGAAGAACAGATAACGACATCAAGAATTGCTGGGACTACATTGTAGGCTCCCACCAAAATGTTCTTTTGATTCAATATTAGCTTTTCAGGATTTATTGTGAATGAAGAACTGGTCTTTTCTCTGAAATGCATTTTATTTGCTTGAAACGGAAAATAACCTGAATATTTATTAATCAAGAAATCTGAATTAAACGGAATGTGCAACTACTTTTGTTGACAGCTGAAACTAGATTCGTATTGTCATGATTACATAAATTCTTTCTGTAAATAAGCATAAACTTGGTACTAGAACAAATATATATGTATCAGCGTAAAACATAAATATTTTTTTCACCCACTTACGAATTTTGTTTTGCAGACATACCCTCCTGATGGTGTATACTGATTTGATTGCCATCATTGATCAAGTTTCAAGAATGTAGAATATAAATGGGATTAAAGATTAAAACTTGCAGAGAATTGCCTTACCAGGGCACCTCGTGCACAGACAAAGAGTGGGATTTTGCTTGCTTCTATAAAGGAGTTGACAGATGGCTTCTCTCTTTCTCTCTCAATAAACAACAACCTAAGAAATGATTTCACTCTCTCTCGCTGTGTGCGTGTGTTGAGTTGTGTTGATGTTGAGAATTGAATTAATCAATTTTGATCAACTTGATTGAGAATTAGACGATGTAATTAGCTGGAATAGAAAAGGGACAATATTATTGATTTTTTTACCATGAAATTGTGAAAGTACATAATTGGTTAACACATGAAGTCGTGGTCCATCAAGGGGACCATTCGTCTCCTTTTATAGCTGAATTTGTAAGGATTGTCCACTTTCTCACGTCGTCAACAATATTTGGATTGCCACCCAACGTTAGCTACAGTATATTTCTCATTAAGAGTGCCAAATCATTCAACTCGAGAAGTTGTCTTATTGGATGATGAGGTCGACTCTTTGCAGCTCATCATGATGTTCCTTGCAATTGCAATCACTCCATCGTAGTTGATTTCTGATTGGTTAATCACGAGGTGCTTATGTCAGTTATGTCACATGTCATTATTAGGTTGGGCAAAACAAAGGTTATGACATCGCTTTAGTCAAATCAATAATCATGATGTTCCTTGATTACAGCGGAGCACATCGAGCTGATGATGATTGGGGTCGAGCTTTTCCTAGAGTTGTAATAGTAATTTCTGTTTGAGGACTTCCATTAGGGATGAGGTCTTCAATTAATCTTGTAATTAGGGTCAAGTATCAACAAGTTGGTTTCTTTGTATGTTCCAAATGTAATGTTACATAGCAGGAAAAAAGGGTATCTTACATTTTATTTTATTTTTTAGTAAAAAAGGGAAGGCATATCTGTAAAACATTTTTTATCAAAGCAACAACCTAAGGATAAATGGTCCAACCTTAGTTTCAAATTGGGTAAACAAACTCTGAATGAACTCAATTACAGCCATTTTCATCTTCTCAAAATTTTTTTTTTTTTTTTGGAATAATGGGCTCATAGTATCCGTTGACAGCAGTAATCACTACTAGCCACTTTTCATCAGTTTAGACAAATTTATTGGAAAATTTTGCATGATTTCTGCACGAGATCTGCACGACTCAATAGAAATTCATCTCCAAGTTATAGCACTAACCTTAGGACTGTATTCCCCTACTACTAGGGTACAAACAGGTTTCTGGCGAATATTGTCTTGTGGAAAGTGCGGGGACGGACGTAGAAGTTTAAAGTTAGGGGGTGTACAATCAAACTTGAAAAGAAGTTGGGAGAAATTTTACAATCGAAAATTTACGTCCAAAAAAATTATACCCCATGTAATTTTTGCATCCGAAAATTTACATAAGATATGACTTTTTTGGATGTAAAATTTCATAATTTTTTAATGTCATATTCTATATAAAATTTTCTAATAAAATAATAAAAATTATATTGAGAAATTTGCATTGCAAAAATAATAAATGTTAATGAAATAATTGAATTTTTTTTTTAAAAAAAGTGAGTTAGACGTCTTTCTTTAAGACTTACGTTTAACTATTTTCGATATTTGTTTGGACTATTTGATATGCTCATAATGTAGTTCTCGAAATAAGTTTTAAGATGATATAAACAATTTGTAGATTTAATTAGAGTACGATTGTTGGAGAATTTTTAAAATTAACTTGTTATCGAAATTCAAATTTATTGTGATTTTGCCCCTATTTGGTAGAGATTAAAATCAATTTTTTAGCAAATTTTGATAAAAGTTGAATAGTTATAGATTTCATGAAATATGTTATTAGAATTAATTGTTAACTTTGATTTAGATTAAAATTTAGATTTCAATCGATACCAAACATAACTTTACAAAAAAAAAAAAATTAAAAAAATTAAAAGTTGGGCGGGGATGTGCCCCCCAAGACCCCCCTTGGGTCCATCCCTGGGAAAGTGTGATAACTCGTGTGTCTTAGAAATTAAATTTTATTGGTTCGTACATAATTCATATGGACTTCATGCAGAATTTTTCTACAAATTCTGATAACTCTCTTTTGTTACTGATGCTCAATCTCATTTGTCAATATCATTACCTTACGATAATATTCATGTTTTGTGATCATCAAACCACTTTGTCTCGAGTTTCACAGAATTGAACTAGTGAAAAATAGTTGAAAATGCAGTAAAGATTCGTTTTGAGGTTTCCATATTTCAATATGTACTTGCAATGGAGACTCAATAAATGGATATCAATGCATTCGCAATGATTTGACATTTTTTAGACTGCTTATTGTTTCGTCAGATGGGCTGCCAAAGCATCCAAATTACCGGGGAAGAACAGATAACGACATCAAGAATTACCGAAACTCGCATTTAAGGGAACGGTTTGACATTTTAGGCTCCCACCAGCCTCCATCCTCTTGCAAATCTGTGGTTATGGAATCAGAATTCCGTTAACTCACCACATGGCAGAGTGGGAGCGTGTTCAAGTAGAGGCCACCGCTTGTCTGTCTAAAAAGAGGACCTTTGGAAAAATATAAGGATCCAACAGATGCATCTAAAACCTAGTGATAGTTGAAGGGGTGACGGAAAATTGTAAGACCTAATACTCCTTCGGGGGTCATAGGCATTTATAAATACGACCCTTGATGGCCACATGCATATCACGTAGTTCAACCCATATGGGCTGCGTGCATTTATAAAACTTTAACACCACCTTAGAAATCATAGATAATAGATTACAAGATCGAGTATCACAAGACCGAAGGAAGTGCAAGGCTCAGTTATATTTTTATTTAGTACATGCTTTTATTTATTTGAGTATACCATTTTATTAGTTACTGTCATTCATTTTATTTAGTTAGAAAATAACAAGTTGTAGGCTATATTTACTAAGAGGATATTTAGGGTGTGTCTGGTGCAACTAAAAGTTTCAATTTTTATCCCTTTTTTGACCGTTATCTTCTTCAGGCGGGTCCCTCCTCACTCCCATGTGGTCAAAAAGACGGCTCAACGGGCAAAAAAATCCTTTTAATCTGGACTGAAATATGCACCAAACACAACCTTAGGTTTTTAAAGCATATCCTTACTAGTTTATTGCTCGAGCTTATTTATATTAATAAAATTATTTTGATTTTGGGAATGCTCTCTCCATTTTGTGCCCATAATTTGGTTTTTTCAAAATTAACAAATTTATTAATGAAATCAAATTTTGGTATTCATGCACGCAAATCAACAAGTCAAGATCTATCGATTCTTGTATTCTTTTAGAATCAACGATTTTGAATCTTTGTTCGTCATTCTTTATAGCTTCATTACACAAACTAGGGAGATCCCCAATGATCTAAAAAAGCGATGAGAACTAATGAAATAATTTAAATCCCATGCAAAACTATGCCCTTGTTTGTATAGATTAAATAGTAGATTAAAATTCAAGTTAATGTCAATAATTAATTTTAATCTCACATTTGGTGGGATCCAAAATTTTTCAACCTTGTATTAATTAACATTTATCAAAATTTACTAAAAATCTGACTTTTTTTTTTTTTAACTCCACCAAACAGGGGCTCCGTGAGAGGAGTAGGGAGAGGGGGGCAAGGCTCGACTTTCCAATAGGCCCATTTAATTTTAATGTTAAAAAAAAAAAATTTTTAACCCTTTTTTTTAAGAATTTTTTTTTCTTCTATGTAGCATCTAAGTAGAATTTTTTTTTTTGCTTGCCCTTTCTGCTCCTCCCCCCTGGGCTATATATAACATGTAATGCCCAGGATTTTTCTGCAAGGCCCTTTTAATTTTAATGTTTAAGAATGTTTTTTCTATGTAGCAGTCTAGTCTTGTCTAGCAGATTTTTTTTTTTTTTGGCCTTTCTGTCTCTGCTCCCTTAGGCTCCATATAGTTAGATTAAGATCCTCAAAGACACTTTCTCATAGATTCTAGGCAACCTTAAGACCTAAAGAGATTCATAGGGTCCCAAACAATCAAACTATAGGATTATAAGCAAACTACAAACCTCTAGTATGATCCCTAAGATTCAAGTGAACTATAAGATCTTAATGAGATTCTTCTTACAAACTATAAAACCAGTTAAGATCTTGAAGGATCTTTAACACAGGTCACGTACAAGGTAAACGACCTAGTGAAATGTGTACTAGTCTCTAAGCAAATTACAATTCCTCAAGAAGTTAAGGCCATCCCTAACCTGCACCAAAATTTAAGGTAAGTTTTGCACTATTTTGCACCAAATTGAAAAATTATCTCCAATCCATTACACCAAATGAACAGTGTTTAATCATTTTCTTCATTTTTTTATTCTTAACAATTTATTTATTTGAAAAATTATTTATTTTACAACTACTTAAATTATTAAATAAATATTATATCAAAATTAATGAAAATATTGAATTCATTAATAAATTTTAAAAATGTAATACAATTAATAGAAATACTACAACTGCAGACACCAAATGCACGTTCAACATCTTTTCTACATACTTCTTGTTTCATTGCAAATAATAATAATAATAATGATAATTTATTGTATTACAAAAATGTATAACAAAATTTTTTACAAAGTGAACGCCAAAGGGCAAAATGGAAGCGCAATAGGTTGGAGGAGACCAAACATTTGGTGCAATTTGATGAATTATAATGCAATGATGTAAGGTTGAAGATGTCCCTAAATCCTAGAGAAATCCTTAAAGATCCTTGGGGAAACCAAGTCTGACGAAAACTACATCCAAGTATTCCATTCATGACCTAAGATAATGTCGCATAAACAAGCTTAGAGGTCTATCTTTTAGCCTATAGCAATAGGACCAAGGTGATTCAACAAGTTAAAAGACCATTCTACTAGAAGTAACTTCAACCACAAAAGGTTTGACAACTAATACGTTATTACTTCCAGTGAAGAGACTTAAAACTCCGAACTCGAAGGTAGAGGACAATTTTTATATATAAATTCACTATATCAATACCTCATTCACGTAAGAATATAGAATCAGATAAATTCACAGAATTAATTAATTCCAAATATATAAGATTTTATCACAATTAACATCCACTAATTTTATACAAACGAAGTCTCCTTTAAATTCTTCGTGTATACCAGAGATCACATAAAAACTCGCATTAAATATTTTATTTGTTAGTATTATATACACCAACTCGAGTATCGGTGTTATAACTAGAGAGCTTTCCACTTCTTTTGCAGGCACGTAAACACACAACCTATGTGTCTTTGTGTAACTAAAGCAACCACATTAATTGTTTCTTCAAGCGTTTCCGTACTAACTACTAACCTAACGTGCTGGTTTTGGTGACATCATTAATTACCAAAAACATAATCAATTAAATCCCATAAAATTGCATTGAGTAATGAGGATTCAATCAACTTGAAATTAAGCAGATCCAAAAAAAAAAAAAAAAATTATAATCTCACATGCATGAACAGATCAATCGCATCAAATTACGACAATTGCTAAAAGAGTTAAGATAATATAACACGATCACAATTCATCTTTGCCATCAACAAAAACCCAATCGGCGATCCTCTTATTATCGCAAGAGCTACGGCCAAAAATTGGTTCCTCACCATGTCATCAATTTCACCTAGAGACACCTGCAACCAAGAGCGTACGGATTTTCTTTACCTTGGCGATCAATTGACATCTCTTAATTCCACATTTAATTATATATCAATCTCAACGCCCTAGTTTACAAGTATCTCTAGGGTATAACAGGACAAATAATCATGAAAGCAATAATTGACAACAGTAGCGAGTGTTTCATTATTTAGTATCTTATTATGCAACGATAAAAGCACAAAAACTAAAATAGAAGACAAATTAAACATGCATAGAAATGAAAACCCATTCTAATTATTGTCATCGTTGATCCTTTTGCTCGGTCCTGACGAAGGGACTATAGCTTTTGGAAGCATGGCTTTCACCGATAGCTCATTCACCATTCCAAACTTAATCCTGTCAACATTAAACTCTGTCTTCTCAATCAATGGCTTGCTCGAGGAAAGTTGGCAAATCATTAAACAAATGAAAAGGAGTGTAATGAATTGATAGAGCCTGTTCGGTTTGACCATTTGATAGATTTGAAAGAACTTAAAATAGTGTTTTTGGAGAGAATTTGATAGCGAGAAATAGGTCGATGATTTCTGGGCAAGAAACTGAAAGAAATTATCTGAAATTGGCTCTCTACTTCGGGGTTGGCACTTCAATAGAATGTAAAATATATAGAATTTGGATCTATTGCCAAGCAATAAGTTTTGACTTATTCGGGGATGACGTTTTTGGTGGGGCCATCATTTGTTACATACGTCCAATACGTATTAAAATCCAACCATGCTTCGTTCACTCTATTAAATAAAAGTTTACGAGTCACATTGTTACCAGGGGCGGACCCAGATAAAATTTAGAGTGGGGGCGAGATCAGGGACGGAGCCAGCTTGTTGAAGTAGGGAGGGTCCAAAGTTGAAGGGGTGGTGCTTATGGAGGTTCGGGGGCATCGCTCCCGAAAAATTTTTTTGGGGAGTTGTTGAATAGTTTAGATTTAGCTGCATTTTCCCAACTAGCTTATGCTATATAGGCCATGAACGAAACCTCTCACCCTGCATCAAACCTACAAATATATTCACTCTGACCATGCAATAGTTTTTGCAATCATAGGTGGTCAAAATGAGATTTACATAACATACCAATTCTTCAACAATATTAGCTACCTGAACTACTACGTGGCCAAAATACTTTCCTTTCGAATCGTGGACTTCAATTGTCAAATCATCTCCAAACTCTTCTGGTAAGCTATATTCAAGTGGGAATGAAATTTAACCATCCAACTCTATGAGATTGAAGAATGTGTAACAAGATTAAAGAGAAAAAAATTACATACAAAACATGAGTTTCACCAGATTCTGGCTGCATTCGAGATAGAAAATAAGCTAAAAAAAACTGTAAAAATTTTATTTTTTCAGTGGGGGCGGCCGCCCCTGCTGGGCCCTTCGTGGGTCCGCCCCTGATTGTTACGGAGTTAAGACATTCTTCATTAAGTAATCAAAAATTAAGTTATAAAAAATTTCAAGCAATATAACATTAATAAAAATAATTCAATACATTACTACAAACATTGCCACACGTTTTCATACTTTGAAATGCAGTATTACAAAAGTTCCACTAGTTTGGTATTGGACGAAAAAGGAGCCAATCACGTGAGTAGACGTAGTGGAGATTAAATACATATGTTTTTGACGGATGTTTTAAAGGAAATTTAACACACAACTTCTTTATGCACTTTATAGTATACAAAGTACTGTAGGATGATTTGTCCTAATTCAGACATTTGATGTCTTGCAATATGAAGCTTTAAGGAGGAATATTGGTGGAACATGCATAGATTTCTTCCAAGTCATATGTAGAAGGTAAGCACATTTAAACTTTCAACCTTAATGCTGAGACTATTTGGAAACAACTTTGAAACTACCGTGCACATTGAGATTTTGAACCCACACTTTGAGTAATCTACTAGCTTAAGTATAATTAATACCCAACAATTCTACATCTTTGTTAAAGTGAAACTTCATTTTTATCAATGAATGATGCTATTCGCAGTGAAAACTATCGATAGTCTTTCTACGTGGTATATATAGGACGGTTTGAGATTTGGCGAATTAATGTGGTAGTTTTTTATTGACTTGTGCATCAAACCACAAACCGACATATATATATCCCGTAGACGGACTACCGGTGTTTTTCATTACAAATAGCATTACTCTTTATCAATGCATTCTGTAAGACCCACAATTTTTACCTACAATTTTAACAGCACATCCTTTGGAAACGGCCTTCATGAAAACATGTCTCACTCTTTTTGTACCCGACTTTATGACGTGTGAGCTCCATGAGACGATTTAACAAAAAAATTAAGTATTATAGTCTTCATGAAATGATTTTATGCCCTATTTGATAGGGATTAAAATTAAAATTTTAATTTAAGTTGAAGTTAAAGTCAATAATTAATTTGAATCACATAATTTATGGGATCAACAACTTTTTATCCACATATTTCAAACAAGGAATATAATTACAATGCAATGTTGGAAACTAACTTGCTAATAAGGTTAAAAATTTGATTTTCATTCCCACCAAACAAGGAATACAATTACAATGAAATGTTGGAAACTAACTTGCCAACGAGCTATATGTTGGGGACCAATAGTGTAATTTACTAATAATCAATATATTACATATTTGGCATGTGTTTGATTGTGTTTGATTCTCATTATTTCCACGTTATAATGAGAATTTGATTTTGTAATAGTAATTTTTTAAAAAATGTATGGTTAAAAAATAATTTTTTTATTTATTTATATGTAATATTATCTTAACGGAGAATTGATGGTTGATAAGAAAAAATAAATAAATAAATTATAATTAAATGGATGCCAAATAGGGGCTTGGTGCTTGACCTTATAAATTGGACAACATTAAGCCCCTATTTGACAACCATAATTTTGAAAAAAAATAAAATTTTGAATAGTGATTTTTGGAGAATGTGTGGTTAAAAAATAAAAAAAAATTAAATTTACATGCAAAATATTTTATTATGTAAATATATGATTAAAAATAAGTATAAGAATTAAAGAGTTCTGAAAGAATGATTGTCAAACATATGCAATCAGTCACTCTAAAATCTAGCAAAAATTAAAAAGCCGTTTCGACAAATAAAGAAAGTTTGAGGATGATGGAGTAAATAGACCTCCCCCTCAAACTGAAACTGAAGAAGATTCAGTCGTCACCCGACCAAATCAAATTCAATTCAATCACACTACAATGATAATATCTAAATCTCGCCTAGAATCAATCGTCTCATGGTTTGTAACAGTCCATCCTAACGAAATCTCTGCACTCATCTACTCCGCCTCCTCTTTCTTCTGCGTAAGTTCCAGTTTTTTGTTTTTTTTTGGATCCGAGTTATGGAATATGAATCGTTATGTTGTGATTGACTAATGTTTAGTGAATTTTGGGTTTGCAGATTTTGAGTGCATATTTTGTGGTACTTCCTTTACGTGATGAAGGCGCAATTTCATTAGGATTAGGGACTCTCCCGGGACTTTTTGTTGGATCTTTGCTGCTCACACTGGTTGCTGCACCAGTTTCCACTCTAATTTTTTCGTTGCCGAATCTTTCTAAAGGAAAGGTGTGAATTAATTTTTCAATTTCAATTATGTGGATATACACTCCTATGACGATTTCAGTAAGTCAAATTATTGACTCCACATGTGTAGTTCGAGATTTTATTGAATGATTGTTTTCTTAATCTAATTGTGTGGAAATGGATTATATAGAATTTTTCCCAAATCTTATTGATGTCTTGAGCGTTTATATAGTTTCCTATAAACCTTAATAATATTTGTGTTCCTGGGATTTTGACGGACTCTTTACAGGGTGGTGTACTTAAATAACATAACATTTCATGAAAAATATGACTTCACAAAACAGGAACGACCTTTCACTAATGCAAACCTATGTCTTTGTGATGTATTTGTACATTATTTCTTGCATATAACCATGCATCTTTTAATGTTTCCTTCATGATAGAATTTCTACCAATTTAAAAATTGGATTATATGTTTTTTTAGTTAAAACATATAACCTTCTTATAGTCTTATCAATTTACACATTGGAAAGGATTGCTCTCCTGTGCATTGAGTTCTGAAATTCCTATTGGCATTACCTTGTTTCGAGTAACTAACCTTCTTGCTATCATGTTATAAATATTGGATTTCCTTCTAAAGTCTTTTAAGAGCTTGTCAACCTTGAGGCAAATATGAAAGCACGATCACTCTACTGATCCTAAAAACATTGTTTTCGAGTTATCTTTCAAATAAAATTATCCGAAAATTTCTTCTTTCTTAGATGTGGCAATATGCACACATCGCTAATGGTGAGAGGTAGGAGTGATTTCTGTAACTATGTCTTATATAGATAGCAATGAGTTATTTGCTATGTCCAACTGATCAACTGAGGCAATATATTATTTCTAAGAAATGAAACCCGTTTAATCAGGTATTCGGGTCAGGGTTTAATTTATTTATTTTTTTTTTAGAATTCAATACTTTAAATAAAAAATTTCATTAGTTCTAATAGAAAATGACAACTAAGATTATCTAAAAAATATGGCAAACAATAAAAGCATTAATTTATCAAATATATTTGAATAATTTAAATTTTAAAAATAAAGAAAGAATAAAAAATGTATTATTGTCTCACACTAATGAATGAGGGCAATAAAATGAATTATCAAAAACTTATATTAAAAAAAATAAAATTAAATGGGGTAGTAAACGCCCGCCCCGCCTTGCCTTAAACAGGTAGCAGGCCAGGGCCAGGGGCGGGAAATTGCCTGGAGGGGCGGGGGAGGTTGCCCCGACCCGTCCTGTTGCTATCCCTATGTTGAGGATGTCACATTACTAAAATTACAGAGATTGAAGAACAAATGCGGAAGTATCTGAGGAATGATGATAGTAGTTAACTGACTTATTGTGTGATTCTGTGTGTAGATTGTAGCATGAATTTTCACTTACCTTATTGTATTATCAACTCGTTGTGTTGTTATACACTAAATAATTGTATTGGCAGTTTTGTTATGAACTCTGCAAGTCATGTCTAAATTTGCTACTTCGATTCCAGGCTTTGGTCTTGATCCACCGATTTTTTAGCATTTCTCTTGTTGTATTCTTTATTCTATGGCTTTCCTCCACTCCTGGAAGTTCATTTTTCAGTTTCAAGGTAAGGGTCCCGAAACAGAAAATCACATTCTATTACTATGGCATCTCTCTCAAGGCATAATGTTGGACCATCAATCTATGTAGGTGCGGTTTCCTGTGAAGTCCACTATAAAGGAGGAGCTGAAGATTATGGTTAACCAAACCATTCCGGCAAATTCTGGTGGCTTGGGAAAACATGGATGGTTTTTCATTTCCGTGAGGATTGGTCTATTCCTTTGGGTAAGATCTTTTTTGCTTCCCTTTGCTCTCAAAATAATTTATGAATTTTGATTGTTAATTGTTTCCAACAATATTCAAGTTTCCTCCTGAGAAAATAATATGCGTTGTTTTCACAGGTTGCTCTACTTAATCTTATAACTATCTCTTCAACTTGGGCAAGAGTAATTGATGTGATGGATAGTGAGGTCAGTATGTTGCAATCGATAACCTTTTTCCAAAATTTAATGCATCAATTTAATAACTTTAATTAAGCATAAATCTTACTCTATTATAGAGAAGAGACTGTTTTCGTCCCTGGATAGTCCGTCATACTGACTGCTGAATTTACAGGATAAAATTGAATTGTTTGCACAATTAACTCTCTTGAATTCAGTCAGGTTCAAGATTATTTGGGTTTATTGGTGCTGGTGCTACATTGGGGCAGCTCTGTGGTTCACTCTTTGCTGCAGGAATGGCTTGGTTAGGTCCATGTATGTTTGTCTTTTATGCCTCGTGATTTCGTGTTTCCCTTCAATCTCTTTTGCTGTCTTTTGTAATATTGAACTTGGTTCTTGTAGATTTACTCCTTATTTCTGCCGTCCTGATGGAATTTGCTTCACGGTCTTCTAAAGGAATCAACAAGGATATTTCCCACCTTCGGGAAGAACTCTCTCTCATCAGGTCTCATTCCTTGACATCTTGCTTCATCTCTTACTGTGATCAAATGCACTTTTTCCTTGATTAGTAAATATTTGGATGAGAATGTGGTGGTGTTTCCATCAATGGGGAAAAAAATTCATAACTAGCTCTCAATACAGTAATAAATGCTCTATGGAAAAAATATTCAACAAATGAGGAGAACTCATAATCTTAGAATTAAGGCGATAAAAAAGTAGACTTCAATCTAATGATAGATGTTTCTGCTCCGAAAGGCATTGCAATTCCTTCCTTGCACATGACTTGAAAAAGCCTATTAGTTCAAAGATGTTCAAAAGTAGAATTTTTTGTTTTATTGGTGCTTTTGTTCCACTTCACCACACTCCACAGGTAAAATGGAACAACCTTATCGTTGCAGCAGGGCGCTCTCAACTTCGAATATGGAGGATCTAACAAAAAACCTATGATATTAATCATATTTGTTTTTTTTCCAGAAGTTGATAGATGTTCTCTAAGGGACCTTATGGCTTTTGATTGTTTTTTAATTTTAATTTTAATTTTAATTTTTTTTGCTATTAGAAATGCTGATATTGACAACACCAGCTTGGCCAATGAAGAGACTGGGCCTTCTCTCAAAGCCTCTTCCCCTAGATTATCTACTTCGGAGGCAAAGCCTCAACTCTGGGCTCTACTTCAAGGATTGCAGCTTATATTATCATCAACTTATTTATTACAAGTGGCATTATTCCTGTGGTTAAGTGCAGTAATCTCCTCTTTCTTCTACTTCCAGGTAAGAGAAAAGAATCTTATTCTTAAAAAGAATTCATGTTTATTATTTTGGTTGGTTTTCTCATTTCTGAAGTTTTTTATAATTTAATTTAATAGCATCATAATCTAACTGTTCTAAGGTAGCAAAATTCCTTGTCTCATAAGTGGCGACCCACACGAATCGTGTAACGACCGTCTCGCTGTCTCTGACATGGACGCTCTAAAATTGAATTCTCCGTGAGGATGCGGGGCACCAACAACTATATGGTACCTATTTTACGGGAAAAAATATTTTCATATTAACATAGAGAGCATATTAAATTTAGTGCGGAGTTCGTCTCACGATCCGTCATCCGAGGTTGCACAAGACGCACTTTTCTTTTTATTGACTGTATATTCAGGAGTTAAGACCATTTTGAAAGAACATTTTTCTGAATCAAAATAGTAAAATAGAAGGCACTACAAGAAAAAGAAACTCATTTTCCAATCACCCCATGAAGACAAACGTTCGGAAAGGTTCTCGAGATTTTTAGTCACTCTTTTTAGTGGGGAGGTATAATGGGAGGCCATGCTGATGTATATAAGCCATATTGGGAAAATTTAGTATTCTACAACGTGAACTCCTTATAGATAACATTTGATATGCCAGGTTGTGTACCTGTCTGGCATGGTAATTTGGAAGGCCAAGAATTGGCCAACTTGTATGGATTTATTGAGGCTTATTCTGCCTTGCCTATCCGCGCTAGTAGCATTACACATGAATAAGTTCTTTCAACAAAGATGTGAATTAGAACTCATTTTCCAATCACCCCATGAAGACAAACGTTCGGAAAGGTTCTCGAGATTTTTAGTCACTCTTTTTAGTGGGGAGGTATAATGGGAGGCCATGCTGATGTATATAAGCCATATTGGGAAAATTTAGTATTCTACAACGTGAACTCCTTATAGATAACATTTGATATGCCAGGTTGTGTACCTGTCTGGCATGGTAATTTGGAAGGCAAGGAAGTGGTAACTATGAAGAAACTAAGGATATGATGCTGAAAATAGACCGATTTTATACATTGCATAAATCCGCTAAAGGGTTAGCTGGGGTGTAAAGGGTTTTCCACGAGATTGGAAATGCAACCCGAGCTAATAGTGATAAGGCCATTTTCTTTACGATATCACCTAAAGGCATCAAAATCAAGCACTAATGGAGATCCAGCGGAAGTTGGACTTTCTTCTCTTCCTAAGGCCTAAGCTCTCTTTCTAAACCTTTATAACTAAGTCTATCCAATTGCATTCTCTCAAATTACCCCACCCCAAATACCTATGGTCGTGACACACATCTAATCTTGATAAAAGCTTGAAATTGGAGAGATTGTAACAATGGTTTAAAGGATGTGAAATAGCAAACAGAGAGGTAGACTAAAATTAACGTGGTCTCTGGTTGTATTAGTTTTTTTAGTCACTCTCTACGCTGGGAAGAACTCCAACTGTAAGGGAATCGCTAATGGATAAACCTTAAAGGGCTTTAATTAGAACTTTCTTTCTTGATTGGACCCAGGGGATGTAATTTGCAAAGCTGGGGCAAACAAAGCCATCTCGCCCTGCCGGATTAGGAATGTGAAGGCCACTCCTTTGAAAGGAGACCGGAGAAAGCAAGAGCTACGCTATTGACCGACCTTTTTTTCTCATTCTGTTTGAAGCTATTAATGAGCAGAATGAAATGGAGATAAGGATTCATGTAGCCAATCCAAATTTATTATGAATAAGACTAGTTCATTGTTGTGCATTGTTTTCTTTCTTAATTCTTTTGTTTCTCGAATGTAGACGGTTTGGATTGTGTCGGTTTTCCTGCTGGTTCAACTGATGTTTGATTTGTAGTATAGTAACTGATTTCTTCTTGATTTGGCTACAGAAAGTAACTGTGATTGCCACCACAGTAACAAGCCCTGTGGACAGAAGAAGATTATTCGCACAAATCAATAGCTTTATTGCTGTTTTCATTCTTGCTGGACAGCTTACGTTGACGGTACGTGATCAGAATTTGGGCCAAAAGTCCAAATTTAGTGTTGCTATAAATTAGATTTTGATAAAAGTTAAAATTATTGTTGACTTTGCCCTAGACTTTGATCAACTTATTTAGCTGAACCAAACAATGGCTTAGTATAAATGTCTAGATCAAGTATGTAGAGATGCGCAGAGGTCTCGTGTGTTCTATTCCTATACTATCAATGATGAGCAATGTAACTTTTATTTGACTCATATCATGTAGGAGGCTGAATGTACCATAGCCACCAGAAATTGACTTCATATTGTGCAAATAAGTATTGCTCCATGCCTTCTTCCTTTATTTTCTTTCTCATTTGGCCTTTAGTCCAGAAGCCCTTTACTCTTTTCGGTTGCTCTCTTGGTGGAGGTTCCTTTGCTATAAGATAAATCATCATAGACAAACGTTCAGTCCTCCATAAGTTTTCTTCAACTACACGATACTCCATTATCAAACACATGCTTGTTTATTAAATTGTGCTTACTTTTAGGTTTCTATAAGCATGGATTCTTTTTTTGTTGAGGTACCAGACACTATTTATCATCTTTTAAATTTGTTTAATTTTCTTACAGGGGCGCATCCTTACTGTTGCTGGGGTTACAATAGCTATTTGCTGTGCACCGGTTGTTGCCTTCATAAATCTGATTGCCTTAGCTGTGTGGCCATCATGGATTGCGGTTGCCATCTCTGAAACTGTTCGTAAGGTATATTATGCATGAATGATACAAATTTAACTTTTGTCCTCAATACCTTTCTGCAACTAGTTCTATGGAACCTTCATATACTTTCATTGTTGTCATAGCTGTTAGTGTGAAACTAGAACGATCTTTGTTTTATACAAATGTGAAAATTTATCTATCTGTTTCTTCAGATGGTTACATATGTCGTTACTAGGCCTGGAAGGGAGCTCCTTTTCACTGTTGTTACACAAGATGAGAAGTATAAAGCAAAGGTTTGACAATGTTTATCCATTCTTCTTTTTTCACTGTAACGATTTTTATCAAGGTAAAATTTAGTATACAAGGTGCTAAAAGAATATTTATACATTAAGCTGGGAGTATCATTGTTAGCAGAACAAAATAAAATAATATCATGCTCATTTATAGCAGAGATACCAGGAGCCCATGAAGATAGCTAATAGCCTTTTTCTAGTTCAAGAGAGTCTGGAAGAAAATAGCTTTGGAGATGTATTTTGATGTCTAGTTTAGTTTTCATGACAATTCATTTTATGCATGCATATAACATGATGGAGCTAGCATGTCTCAAATTACTCAAAAAGAAAAAGTTATTCATTAAGGGCACATTTGGTACACAACACTGGATAGTCGTGTACATTACAATAGACAATTTTAACTTCGTTTTCTTCTTTACTACTATCCAATGTAGTCTAATTCAATATACCAACTCATGCTATAAATAAACAAATGCTATGCAACTAGCATCATATATCCCAGTAAAATTTTGATTGTATACGTTAATTTTCCACAGGTATGCATAGATGTAATTGTTCAAAGGCTTGGAGATGCCGCTGCTGCTGGAATGTATAAGCTACTTTTCATCCCTCTAGATGGGAAAACATCATCTGTCTCCCTCTATGCATTGCCAGTATGTAACCATATTAAACTGCAGTGATGATGAAATTGATTAACTGCTTTATTATCTATTACAGATTTTACTAGCAATACTTGTATAATATGCCAACTCTAGCAACTTAAATTTTTTGCCATCTCAAAAAAGAATAACTCATTTTCTGTTTGTTATTAGGTCTGCCTTGTATGGGCAGTGGCCTCTTTCCATTTAGGACGCCGGCAAACACAACTCGCAAAGCTAATAGCATCTCAACCACCCGAGACTTCATAAAGATGATACTTTGTAGATTTCCCATGTACAACATGTAAGTTGAATTTGATAGTTTGGGTTATATATAATTTTCAATTTGAAATAGAGACGGGAAGACCATATCGTATTCGAGTTTATGGTGATTCTATATTTCCATTTCCTGTGTATGGTGTATGGATGCCAACAAGTTTATGTTGTAGGAATTGAAGTATCTGTTGGCTCCTAGTTACATATTTGAGGCTGCTACAGGTGCTAATAGTTAATATTACATCTTCATGATTGATCAACCTTGTGCCCTTTTAACTTGAAAATATTATTAATCAATTTGTGGGATAATGAGAAAAAAATTGGATTTAGAGCCAAAATCTTTATGTTTGACTTTTATCTCATGATGCATTATAGATACAGTATGAATCATAGTTTTTGGACACGACCTGTCCATCAATTTCATACGTATCAGGTTACTGTGTCACTGGTTTAATCATTGGCTGACTTCTAAGATAGCTAGTAATAGCTTGAAAATGAGGATTTGGAATGTTGTCTTTGCAATGCTTGAATCATCGTGTGTATTTACACGTGACAAATTAGATTGCTAAATTGAAATGGCTAGAGTATTCAAACGTATAATGATTATAAATTATCTTTTGTTTCTAAATGGAATGGACAGCCTGTAGTGTGTTAAGACAACTTGGTGAGGAAATCACCTTTTTTTGTCTGAATAAAAGTCCAAGATTTCTCTTTTATAACACGACAAGTATACATTATACTGTTAATGTCCCCTACTATTCATATTGGCCCAAGAATTTATTCCCACTGCTTTCTAATTCCTTGGAATGACCTATAATATGCATGCTTAAAAAATATTTTATTCTTCTATAAAATTTAAGTTTTTTAAAGAGGTAGTTCAACATGTTACAAAAATAATTTAAAATGTTGAAATTGTCGGGCAGCGATGAGCATATCAATTAATCTTGAGACGAGATGATTCGAAAAAAGTTTAAAAAAAAAAAAAAAGATAGAATCTTCTTGTCATTATGAATATTTCAAAGTTCTTGTTAATCTCGAATTATAACCTTTAGATTCTCTTTTCAAAGTTTGTTCATCTTTGTGTTAAAGCCATTTTATCCAATTCCTATTCCAGTTAGAACCCCCCAGATCGACACATTAGCCCACAACAAAGACAGACAGGTGTGCAGTTCCAACTCCTTTTTCGATTCCCACTAAAGCAGAATATGCACAAAAGTGTAAAAAAAGAAATATTATGTCTTTTCATTCTTTGGTTTTTCGATAAATAATACATGTAGTTTTATAACCTAATTTTCGATATATCTATGAACTTTATTTTGTCACAATTTGCTTATTTTAGTTTATACCTATACTTAAATTTAATCAACTTGTCTATCATTGTTAGCTAGCTAAGAGAAATGAATGTCGATATATTATTGAAAAAAGTGCATACAAAAATCTATATCGACTAGACATGAGATGATATTCGGTTTATAAGAGATTTATGTTATACCTCTTTATGTTAACATTTTGGACAAAACTACCTTGCACGACAGCTTTAGTACATTCACCTTAAGCCAGCTACGTATTTGTCCGACTATCGCAATTAACTTGGATTCTCACATTATTGAGATCTTTGAAATATATTTAGAGATTCACCTTGCTGGACACGAGGTGACGAGTAGTTCTATTTATTGATAAAACTATAATGACAAGATTGAAAGATGTTGTTGTGCACATTATGCACACTTGTGATAAACAAGTCGAGTCACTAGTGATGGTTTCTAAGTCAATTTGGTGTGCCAAACAACTCTAAATAATGAAAGCACAAATCTCGTGTTTGCATTTAATATAAGAAGTGAGTTGGATGTAAAATAGCTCCATCCTAGGTAGAGTAATAATTATCATCCATCGAACTCTAATAAATAGACTTCACTTTTCTTACCTAATCAAACAAATTTTAAGCCATGTCATCTTCTTGGCAGGCCAAGTTGAGGTATTCAATTAACCATGCTTTCCTACCTTAGTTCCCTCCATTGTTGGGATCATATTCTATATATAGAATAATAATTTGGTATATATCTTGGCAATTTTTGTTAAAAATGGCTATCGGAGTAAAATGTAGTTAGTTTGATCGGTGGTGGTGTTAAATTCACTTCATTTGAGAGATAAAATGTCATTCGAGACATTCTTGATACTAGAATTTACAGAAGTGGTATAATCAACTATGAGATAGAAAGTGAAGTATCTTGTCATATTACGCGTTTTATTAATTCATTCAAAGTGCCTCAAATGGCAAATAATGACAATCAAACAATCTATTCACCACAAAAATATTGACACTCAAACAACCTATTCACCACAAGATCTATTCATATCTATGCTTTAATACACATCAATATCAACATTGTGATGATTTTTCTTCCTTCACTTCACTTCACTTTACTTCTCATTTCGTTATTGTATTCTTTATCGTCTGCAATGAATGTTGGACCAAAGAACCAATTATGCATTGCATCCTTGTGGCTTTCTTCTTGGACATACTTTTCAATTGGATCATCTCAGTCAATCACAAAACATCGAAAAATTTATATCGTTACCTGAGATTTGTCAACATTGTAAGATTCATATCTAGTGTTACGTAGTAAGCATATTGTAATTATACAGAAACCCTTCGACTCTCAATCAACCATCATAAATGAAAAACACATTGCAGAATATTTTTCAATTACTAATTCTAAATTTGAATTTACAAATGACTATCCTCTTCTTTGATATCATTATCCACAAAGGCATTACTCTCAGTACCCTTGATCAATTCATATTTTCTTAAAAGTTCCTCACCCCAATCCCACAAATGCAATACAATATAAGTCCCAATGCCTCCAATCAAACCATAAGCGATTGAATATGTCAATGGCATCAAAATCAGTGTCAAAAAGGCCGGAATAGCCTGCTTCATGTCATTCCACTCCACCTCCGTCACAGAACTCATCATCAAAACGCCCACTAATATCAGCGGCGGCCCCACCGCCCATGCCGGTATTGACGCCAGCAGCGGCGTAAAGAAAAATGCCAGCATAAAATACGCCGCCACTGTCAGGGCGGTTAAGCCCGTCTTGCCACCTTCTCGTATCCCTGTCGATGACTCGATAAACACAGTAACAGGCGACGTGCCTAATAACGAACCCACAACTATCGATGATGCATCAGACATGAACGCAAAATATTGCCCCTCGAAATTGCCATTGCTGTCTGTGAATCCGGCGAAACGAGCCATGGAATATAGAGTTCCGGTCGTGTCAAGTATATCAACGTATAAGAACGTGATCAAAGCTTCCCAGAAATGGCCTTTTCCAATGCTTTTGAAACTTAAAGATCCTGCAGTACTTTCAATTTTATGAATATCAACTACTTTCTTGAAATATTCGTACGAAGAATTCCCTGCTGGTGTGTTGGGAAAATACGTAACTTTTGTGTTTCTGAACCAAGAAATTGCTGTAACAAAAACAATCCCATAAATCATTGCCCCTTTAATGTTCTTCACCAAGCAATAAGCAATGATCACAAATCCAACAACGCCAAGCCAAAATGTCGGACTTTCCATACGGCCATGCAAGCATAGAATATCACCGGAAGCAGTGCCGCCGGGAATCAGTGAAAGGGTTCCGTTTATGGAAACCACCGGTGCTACCGAGGCACTGGCCGAACGTGGACATGCCCCGAGGGTGACTAAAGTAGATGAACTATATCCAATTAGGCCTACTCCTTGATTGTTTTGTAATCCAATGAAGGCTAAAAACAATCCTATCCCGGCTGAGGATGAAATTCGGACTGGCTTTGGGACAAGTTTTGCTAGCTTTGCGCGTAGTCCAATGGCGGAGACGAACAAGAAGATTAGGCCTTCGATGAACACCGCCGCCAGTGCGCTTTGATACGAGACATTGCCGGAGCCGTGGAAGCCCACTACCGTGTAAGCGAAGTACGCGTTTGCGCCCATTCCGGGGGCTAATGCTAAAGGGAGATTCGCGAACAGGCCCATTATCACGCAACCGATGAGGGAGGAGGCCACGGTGGCTATGATGAGGTCCTTTCGGGTTTTTTCGAGGCAAGCAGCGTAGCCGGGATTGACGGGGTCGAATTTGCAAGAAACGTCAGGCTGCACGAGGAGGAGATTCGGGTTGTTTGTGCAATTAGACGGCGGCACAGAGGGGTCGGAACAGAGAGGGATGCAGTCGGAGACTGAGCATGTTCCGCCGGAATCTGACAAGATAGATGCATTCACAGCCAGGATGTAGGCCATAGTGAGGAAAGTAGCGGTGCCGGCGCGGAGCTCGGTGGAGAAACTTGTGTTTCGCTCGGCGATCTTGAAGCGCTTCCCGGCCCTACTTTCTGCGACGTATGTGTTAACGCCGGTTAGCCATGATTTTCTGGTCGTTGAAGGCGGCNCGCTTCCCGACCCGGCTTTCCGCTACATATGTATTGACGCCGGTTAGCCATGATTTTCTGGTGGTCGACGGCGGAGCTAGTGATTGCCCAGACTCCACGTCCATTTATTTTAGTATTCTGTGATCGGTGATCGTCAATTTTGTTTTTCCTAGTGCAACTGTTATAATACAATTGACTTTGACCAATAAAAATGTAAGAATAGACCTACCTTTCACACTGAAATGACAGCCACTTCTAAGATTATTATTCTATTTCTTGTTTCACATGCATGGGTTCCCACCCTTCAAGGAAAATGGATAAATCTTAGCCCGTTTCACCCATTAAAATTATAATTTTTTTTTTTCGTATCAATTACACATTGTCCTATAAAATAATATTAGACGTAAATTCAAAAAAAAAGAAAGTCTTCTTTTTTTAATCACGCATTATTTAAAAAAATACTAATTAAAAAATTATAATCTCAAATAACGAGGGCTAAACAGAGAGTTAATATTTGTTCTGTAAAATTTTCCAATCATTTACAGATAGTCAATAGTAAATTTTATTGTACTTACAAATAATATGAAATTATTTATAATTTATTTTTGTTTATTTATAAATTAAATAGTTTATAAATTCTTTCTGAATGGAGGCTTAGAAATATAACGGGATCATGCAAATATTAAAAAAAGAAGAAGAATTTTGTCAATGGAATACAGTGAACTTATAAAATATTTTATTCTTGTTGAAGCATACATAGGGCATTAATCAAAAAAAATTTGGTCATGCATAGCAACCAAACACGTGAGACAAGACATTGGATTCGATTTAAAATTAGGAATTTAAGACACAAAATTTGACTTGCTAATGAAATTATGCTACTTATTTCAAAAAAATGACGGTAGCCATATCGACCACCACCAACTCCAGTCTTGTCTAATTTGAAACCCACAAACAAATTCGTAAAGATTCGTAATCTCTTTGACAATCATTTGATTAACTAATACTGTAACGATCTTAACACAAAATGAAAATAAGTCGTTTGGCGTAGGTAGAAATAACATTTTAAATGGCCATAAGGGTTCGTAATACTTTAATATTAACTCCTATGAAATAACCTCAACAAATCCATGTGATGGATGCCAATGAATGATATTGTCGCTTGAGGATCATAATTTTAATATAAATTATTAATTGGAACAATTTTTAATTATCAATTGATATACTATTGCTGGATCCCAACTTTAGAGAAAGCCAAAATGAAATGATGACAAAATTAGAAGTAGGAGATTTGTCGACTGTACTTTCATATTGTGGGGGCATTGAATGGTCCTCAAGTTGTGGAAAAAATTATTTTATTTTTCTCTTGTTAACCTCTATTGTAATTAAATGAAGGGAAAATTGCAGCACCGATATTAAATCTTTCATTTAGTCGCTAACTTTTTTCAAACTTTTTATTTGTATCACTGTGAGTATCAAACCTTCAAAAAATTCGAAGATAAATTTGTATATGATAATTTTACTCCACGATCAACACAAACTCATATAACGTTGAATAATGTCATTTTAGTATTTAGAAACGATGATCCAACGTTGAAATCATATATTTATAAAATATGTAGATACAATAGACCTTTATTTTTAAAAAAAAAATTTAATTTGGCCTACTTCGAGAACATGTTGAAAACAATTTTAATAAATTAGTTTCTCTATCTTCATCAATTTAAACTTTGACGTGAAATTGTTCGGCATCCGATAATATATTATTGAAGCGAAGGAATGTACACATCTAACGAAAGCTATTTGACAACAACATCAAAATATTGATGCCATTTTCAGTCAACTTGATATAATTCGACATGATTTAAAAGATTCGCGTTTTGTCTATTTCGTTGTGCAATTTTTTCCAATTCAACGTGTCTCGATTACTCATTTATGTAAAAATCTAGAATTCCAAGTGTGGAGTTGAATGTTTCACGCATATTTATTCTTCCATATATTTTCTGTATCACAATATCGAAAGGTTCAAACTTTAACATGTATGTGTGAACACAAACGATTCGCAAAAGAAAAAAAAAAACAAATCCCCTTCAATCTCAATCTTTAGATGGGCATCTTGTGAGGTTACTTCATTTTCTAAACATCTTTTTCATAACTAAGTCATCCACCACCACCATTGAAGGAAGACTAACATCAAGTATAAACAAATCTAAGAACTTGCCATGCACTTTTCCTCACATATCACGAAGTATATACTAAGAGTTGAGAACTTGATATCCTTGGGTTGTTCCCTTAATACATTTTTAACTATATACTCGACACATCACCTTTTCTTAGCAAAATGAAAATACGTTAGAAAATAATGGCATTAAAAAAATGTGTTGTCATCTTCTCATTTATTAAGATAATGCTAAGGATACATATATGTATGTATCGAAAAAACAAATCTCATCTCATAGGTTAAAAGTTGTCCAATAATTTCAATTGTGTGTTCCCTCCGTTTGCCTTGTCACAAGTGACCATATCCTAACATTTATTATGGTAGGTGCGCAATGGGATAGTACTTGAACTTCAGTTAAATGCATTGGATCGTGAATAGACGTTTTGGACCCCTCAGCCAATGAACCTTAGGATATGAAAATTAAATGAAATATCTCTTTTTATCTTCTTTTGCTTGTGGGACAACTGAAAATCCTAGCATGATAATAGGAACATTGGACATAATTATTGAGAATAGAATGTATATATTTGTGTTCGTTATTTTGTTCAAATTCAATTCAGCATATCAAATATATCGACTGCAGTGAACTAATTATTCTACTGAAAGAGTAGAGAATAATGGAACTCAAAGTGCTGGATTGATGACACAACTATATCATCAAGTTGATAATCGTAAATTCGTATAATTCAAATTATAAAACTAAGTCGAGAGAGTTGAATATGTCATATTTCACTATATAAATTAAAATAATATTGCTCTTAGATAACTCGTTTTCAAAAAAATTTCAAATCTTCTTAAAATAGTGGAATAATTTGACCAAGTTTATTCAATGCTATCAACCACTAAAGCAACCAGCCAACCACATAATTTCTCCCGTTGGAAAAATTGAAATCCTTGTTTGGAGGTAGATTCAGTTAATAACTTCCCAAAAAGTTTAAATTCATTTGAATGTGGCCTACATGCTCTCCTCTCGTAAATTTATAATACCCGGCTCCATCCGATTCCCGATTAATCGGGCAATCTCTGTCCCATTCGGACAAGTTTCGCCCTCTCCTATATGAATATTTACTCCGGACTTCATGAGGTTCAACGTACTTACTCGAGATTTATGTTATCATCTTACAATCCCAGGAGGAAGGGGGTGAAAACGACTTTGTTAATTTCAATTTTTCATTAATTAACATTTCTTGTCTCTAATTACAATTTTTGTCCAAAAAATTTGTTACGAGGGCGTAAAAGAATTATTTATCCCTTGTAAATTTAAATAAGCAAAATTAAATAAAAAATACGACTAAATAATTACCCCTCATTTTAAAGCACGGTAAAAGAACTATTGGACAAAAATTATCACCTGATTTATGAAAAGCTGAATATAAGAATTTGATGACAAAGTTGAAGATTGTAATTAAAATCTGGTAAATTTATAAAAAAAAAGTAATTATATTGAAACAATATTTTGTTATCAGCATCAGCTTTTAATTACAATTAAGGTTCTCAACTTTTTTTTTTTTGCATTTTATCCTTATTTCCTAATAAATTAGCTATCTTTTCAATTATTCTACAAGCGTGAATTGAAATGAATGACCGACTGATATTTTGTCTAAATTTTGTACTTATTGTTTATTAAAATATACAAATAAGCCATTTTTCATCCTCCCGACGAATTGTTTTTGGATTAAAACCAACATCATAGACAATATGTACTAAATAATTGAAAGTTAAGGACAAAAAAAAAAAAAAAAGTGTGAACACAAGTACAAAAATGAACAAATGTAAGTACATTCATTACAATTAAAATATGGTGTAACAACTGACAAAAATTATGATGTGAATATAATTATTCCATATTAAAAAACTGTGTAAAAATATAATTACCTTACTTTTGTCATCACTTTGATCATAAAAAAGAGGAATCATCCAAAAAACTTCCAAGAGTTTCTCATTGCCTCAACAAGGCTATTAATCTACATGCAGTGCGTTCAAGCTATGAAAATGAGAAGCAGCTTTGATTAAAGTCCAGCACTGGTATTTCCAGTGAAGAATTATATAGAGTTCACATACTTTTCATTGTAAAATTGTTTGCCTTTTCACTATAAAACCAAAAGGAATAAGAAAAAGAAAGAAAAATGCAAAGACCAAGAGAGACATCACAAGATGATCTACCCCTTAATTATAAATTTACAACGATCGAATGACAGAGATGGGGAGAGCAAAATGGGGATGGGTGCAAAATCAGAATATGGTGTCAACAGTGAGCTTTCTTCGCAAAGGAGTTGACTCTATTATCTGCTTTTCCAATTCCATGAAACTTGAACCTTTGTGAGCAAATAATCTCCGCAAATTGATTACAGAAAGCTCATTAAAGCTTGCAACTGCGAGATCAGCCTGCCCAAGATCGTATCTGCACGTTAAACTCCACATTAATATTCACCACAGAACAAAAGGTTCGTTGAGAGCAATTAATTTGATCCCTTGTCGTGTAAAGCATTAACATTTTTTGACACAACGGATTCATTTTGTCATCAAAATCTCGTACATTTGAGCTTTATAACCCACACAAGGTGCGAATACGTACGCTGGATGAGCACCAATTAATGCTACAGCCATCATTGTACAATTATGAGCAGCAGTTATTCCCCTGGGGTCATCCTCAAACACAACACACTTGGACGGTTTTCGGTCCAACTGCAAAACAATTCTCAAGTAGATCAAAATGGTTATGGTTAAAATATGGTATTCATCATTTTGAGAGGTGGGGTGGGGGGTGGGGAGGTGTTCAATGTAAACTGGGGAGAGAAAAAAGCATTAAAAGAATATAAGTTACATGGACCAAAAAGAATGTCCAAACAAGTGCAAGATTTCTACATGTATTTAACATTAATTATTTTAGTACTACTCCCAATTACTATGAAATCATACCTTTACAGCTGCAGAAAGGAATCTATGGGCTATGGACTCCATACCATCTTCTTCAGACACAATTGCCTGCAACTCCAACAGATGACAGTCAGCCTTGCAGTAGAACAGCGATCCCAGTGACATTTAATTCTTTTTCCCTTTTATTTTTAAGAACGAATTTACACATGGCATCCAAAATATCAACACATTACACCACAAACAATCTAAAAACACTTCTTTGTAATCAGTGTTTTTTTTGGTTCTTTGCACTTTTCTGACCTCTGTTTAAGCTTCTCTCTTCATTGTCAAAAGGTGCCTGGGATGCCCACTCATTGCAATTTGTGCTAGGCATACTTTTAACAACTGTGAGCAATGTCCATATTTAGACAAGCTAGAAATCCCAGGAGGAGTAGTCATTATACTTCACAATCCACTATCACAGAACTGGAGCTGGATCCATATTGATTCGAAATTCAATTGACAAACTTAACACAGATTACAACATAATCACAATGTCAAGGTAAATGAGCAAACAAAAAACCAAAAAATATAAAGTAACAATGAAAGTCGGACATCATAATTGTATTTGTATGGAAAACGTAGAAAAGATACAGGAGGAGAACTGTAAGTGTTAGCTCCCCCAGACACAGAACATGGGAGGAAAAGAGATGAAACTGTGACCTGAAAATACTTCTTGAGCCCCATTCGCTCCAAAGCCTCAACCATGTTTCTGCGGTCAACACTTGAAACAACAGCACAAGGGATGTTCGATGAAGCTAAAGCATCCAACCATTCTTTTAGCCCTTCTACTGGTTCAGAGAGCTAAAGAACAGGAATACTAATTATTGGATCTAAGGCATAAAAAACATCCAGCCTTATTCACTGAGCAATCTTACTTGGACAAGGTTGTCGTAATATAACCGAGTTAACCTCAACTTCAGTCTGTCTAGATCATTTTGTGCCTTCCCCCAGCGCAAAACCTGAAAAGTTTGACAAGGAAATCAACCCTCCAGTATAAAGCAGAAAGGTCGAAATTGCAACAAAATGCTATTCTGCTTATTTTACATATAAATTATGTAACCTCCATTAATACACTTGCATTATTAGATTTCTGTCTTTTCCCAGTTGATCATTACAGTAGTTATTACAGTTTACTGAAATAAAATAAAACCTACCACAGCAATTTTATATCCACTTGAGACTAGTTGAGTCAATCGTCCAGCATGACCCCAAAAGTGATACTAGGTCTATTCCAGGAAACAGTGCACCAGCAAAGCTTGCACTCCACTATTCAAGAACTAATAGTTGAATCGCCCTTTAATAAATTATAAAGAATAATTACATTTAGAACCAATGTAATTAGTTACCAATTCTGATCAAGCCATTTTCATTAATCATCTTTTCCTCTTACATCCATGCCATTTTACCCAGTTCCCAGAAATTTCATCTGTTCCTCTTAGTTGAGATGAAACAGTGACATGTAAATTTCTTATGTCTAACAATTAAAAATAGGTTATACAAGATACATGATTCGGACTCGTTGTGCAACTCAAGTACAAACTAGTAGAGCCTTTATGAATATTGCTTCTCCTTATCCAGTTAGCCAGACAAATGAGAGCTTTTAACATGGAATCATATACATTACTCAAAAAAGAGAGTATCAATTATCATGGTATGTTTAAAATGGGTTTTTCTGTGTGTTTGAGTCATAGCATCATCATGTTACACCAATAATTTCCCTACATGTTTCCAACCATCCTAAGCAACTTCAAAGTAACGCGTTCAGCAATACTGTTGACTTGTAAACTAAGCAACTTTTTGAAATATGCTTAGTTTGCAGATGTGAAATATAAATTTTCATGGATTGCCAACCTTATGCAGAACATGATCAGCCCCTGCATAAAGCAAAAGTCTCTGCACATTGTTATCTCGAGGAATCTCCTTTCCTGCACAAAAGTCATGATTTTTAAACCCTACGAAAAAGAATCTTTAATGCATCACAAGTATCTGCTTCTTTGTCATACTACAATATGCAATCACTCCAAAATGCTCCTTCAGTGTCATTAAGAAGAAGAATGGTCATTTCAAGGAAACATATAAATTGAAAATTATTATCCAATAAAAGGCCAAAGAAGAAGAAGAAGAAAGATGTCCTCAGATCAGTGAAGTTTGAAGACCCATCTATGCGTAATTATCGATGTTATCATCGTCTCTGAAGACTAGTGACAAAGTAACCACTTTTCACCAGGTTTTGCCATGATTATTAACCTCGTAACTTAAGCACTCAGACCGATCAATAACACATGTTATATGACTATCATCTGTTTGATTTAACAAATATCTTCATATATTGTCAGAAACCAATCACCAATATCAAAACGCATAGCTTCTGTTGTACCCAATGGTCATGAATCTTTATTTCAAGGCCACTTGTCTTCAGATATTCCAAGCACTCAAAAGGTGAAACTGGTAAGCTGAAAATTACTTCTGCAAAAAATTCTCCACACTACAATCTCTACAATGATGGCTGCAACAAAGACCCTGAAGATGGGTCCTGTTCAATTGGCCATTTCCTTTTCTATTTTACTAATTCCAGTATACAGAGGAAATCTGCACTAAATGCGCAAACTCAATTTCTGGGATGCAATCCTGCTGGTTATTAAGTTAGTTGCATGTTTGTCGAGAGAAAAGGTCAGTTTAGGGTGTTAAAAGTTGTAATTCACAACACACTTATTTCTTTTTATTTTGACATTACTAATTGGTAGGACAGGTTTATCTCCCTTTTCTTTAAAGTTTTTATTTAGTTTGTTCTAAAGTTGCTTTTGAATTTTTCTTTTAAATGTGGTCGATAGTAGCCATGATGGTCCATCCCAAAGTCTGAATTGTGTAATAGAATGCTTGGGTTACATCTCCTTAGACCCACCTGGTCATGTTTCTCCACCGATGGAGTCCTTGAAATCCCATAAGCCCCAAATCGAAAATCTCATAAGCTTCCAACTCCACCTTCTCCAAATTGACTAATAACTTGACAAAGCTCCTTTGCAAACACATCGATCTTGGCTTCAAGCTTCAATTCGAATTTATTGACAGCTTCCTAAATAACGGGTTCTTCAAAACTGGTATGGCAACTACATCCATCAAGACTAGCCACCAAACTCGAGGGGAAACCACATGCTTTGGTACCAACTAATGTAGGGATATGCAACCACTTTGCCCAAAAGCTATAGCTCATGGGAGAGGTACAATCCACCCTATTATCACCCAGAATCAAGTCCACAAATCCACCCCAAGCCCACTCCAATTAGCCTCACTTTGAAGGACACCTACGAAGGCGCCATTGGGACATACCCAAATAGCAACCATAGACCCACTTGTTTCAAGCATGCTCCTGTATTACATAATCATGCTCTGCCCCTGCCATATTAAGAGAATTTTTGCAAACTTCAAATATAAATCATGCTCTGCCCCTGCCAAACCCAAAACACATTAGGGGCCACATGAACATCATATAGATCTAGCAGCTATTGTCTCACCTAAAATTCTCAATTGCTAGCACTACACAATGTGATTGGCTAGAATTAGATGTGTAAAACCTGAAACTGAATGCAAGCCATGAAGATAATAACTACTAGGCAGAAACCCATTTTAGAAGAAAAATGCTGCCTTCATCAGATTCAGATGCATAATGTGATTGGCTACAAACTACATGTTTAAAACCTGAATGCAAGACATGAAGTAATGACCACTAGTGAGAAACCCATTTTACGATATAAATGATTTCTACCTTCCTCAGATGCAAGTTGTCTCCATGCATTCAATTTCAATGATCCAGTGTCTGCCTATAACAAACAGAAGCCAAAAGAAAAGAGACTCCCTTAGAGAAAAGCTTAAACCATTAAAGAAATATATATTCATTATTGCTAAGGTTATTCACCCATCTTCTCTGTCCTTTTTTGTGTGTTTCTTCAAATATATTCTTTCCTGACCTTTATTAATCCCCAAACCAAATGAAAATTATCTGCAGTTCTATTTTGCTTGTTTTCTTTTTCTTATTTAAATCAGTCACATCTTATCAAAATAGGGCATAATGGGTGCAAGGCCATGTACAAAGATCAAGTGCAAAAGATGGAGAACGAGAATATGTGTGGACAGACCACTCTATTCCTATCCTCAACTAATTGACCAGAAACTTCAAATGTCAACTCAACTGGCAGACAATTTCTTTTCCTGCTCTAACAATCCCATTCCCTCCTGAAATAGGTTAGCAAATTTCCAGCTCTGAAGTCCATGTTCTTACCTCAATTTAACTCCTTTATTCTTATCCAAGTTCTGTACCTTTCAAAGAAAAAAAAAATTCTTATCCAAGTTCTGTTGATGTCCTTATCACATCTCCTGTGGATATCCAACAACATTGTGCAGGGGTTGCTAGCGTCGAGTTAGTGTAGCGTTTGTTTGTGCTGCCAAGGGGGTAACCCTTTGAATAAAATTTCCTCATCTGAAATAAAAACGAAGCCTTCTTGACCAAAACACTTCCCATAACTTGCCTAAAAGTTACAGTTTCTCCCAGTTAATTTTGCAGGACAAGTATTAGAAACGCATTCATACAAATTAAGACAAAACCAATACTCTACAGCAAAAAGGAGGACAATCCTGATCTGGTTTGGATCTGTAATGCCCCGAAAATTTTCATAGAATAAATTGATTTGTTCTATATAATAATTCATATTTTGATAGTTGAGGAATTAAAATTTAAATAGTTTAAATTTCAATTTTCATTGGGCCAATTACTTAAATATTGATAGAGTAATAATAAATATATAAATATTGGGCTCGTTGGATAGCTCGTAATTAATTAGGTATATTGGGCTCGAGAAAAAGTCGATTCGGATAAATGATGATCAAGTTATTGAGGTTGAAATATATCGTCTTCAATTACATTTAATTAAATTGTTAATTTAAGTAGAATAAGACATGATACGGTTGTTGGTAGATTATTAATGATTTTCTTTAGAATTTTGTATAGAATAAATAAATAAAAGAAAAAAAGAAAAAAGTGAGGCAACACGTGCACTTCTAGTTGAAATGGAAAGAGGAAGATATTCTTTTATTTGGTGATGTGAATGCCTTGGGAATGCAACAATTTGCACGGTAATTACTTTATATTTTTGGGAATACACGCAATTGGTATGGTGCATCGTCAGTCTAATTGGGTTGATTGCCGTGTTTGAATGGAAATAGTGTATAGGCCCGACAGATCGAGCAGATTTCAAGGAATTGGACGCATTGTTTTATTTATACGATTTTCATTCCAGTTATACCATAACTCTTTTTAAATTTCAACTATATACACTGGACAAAGACCTCATGGTTAACCACAAAGATAATACTCTTACACATACACGACAGTAGACGATAAACAAAGACCCGGTTCGTGACTTTCGAATTTTGCAAATCATACAAATTAAGACAAAACCAATCCTGATCTGGTTTGGATCTATTCATATGGCCAGTGTTTGGGGGGAAATTGGGGCTGGAGTACTGATTGAGTTTTAGTAGATGGCAGATGGGCTTTTAAGATTTTTCAGTAGGTATTCCACTGCTATGAAGTACTCCATCAATAGTAACTAGATTCCTAAGAGGCTGTTTTGTGCTAGGTGACGGGATTTGTCATTGGAATTCTAGAACAAAACAAAGAGGAGGAAAAAAGGAGCGCTTTGCCGCTCTTCATCCACGCAAATAGATAGAAAAATGGACACAACGCGATCTCAAATTCTTGAAATGTTCAGTTCAATTGAAATAAAAAGATAACATATAAAGTTATAAAGCCAAAAGAGTTCTCTAAGAACTAGACTCCATATATGGAACGTGAAGGTAGAGAATATTTGACAGCAAAAGATTGTTCAAAACTGACTAGGACTTTCCTTAACAATAAAAAACTTAAGTAACATCAAAACAAGAACCTTGGACTATGGATAATACTTCTATCCAGCGATTGTTGAGAAAACCAAATTATCTTGATTCAACTAACAAAATAAACGCATATATTTCAACATACAGTTCATCATTTTCGCTCCAAATCCTTTTGTTGGCAAAATTCCAAATTTTCATTCTTTGACACAAGTTTACATCAGTTTAAGTCATGGTTACTATTAACTTCTCCTTCGCTATCTCTAAATTGTTCAAACTGATATTTCTTAATGGACAATAACTGGATGTCAGTCTAGCACAGCGAAAATCAGAGGGTTAATAGCTTTCTCACGGCCATCTATACAAACCAAAAGTCTTCAGTACCTAAAACTTCACGTGAAAATTCTCACTCGCCACCGACTGATCCTCATCCAAGGACTAATCTCCCGCCTTCTTCCTAGACAACTCAATATCACCGGTTATGCACTGCACTGCACAACACTTTCCATTGGCCACTCTTCTTTGAACTTCCTATCAGCGATGTCAATACTTAATTTGAAGGGAGACGGTTTTCATCTAATCTACAAATCCAATGACAGTTCCCTCATTGACGATTTAAAGTGCTGCCCCAAGAAGGTAATTTTTGACGTTTACCCACAATTTTTTTTTTTATTTTGACAGCATGTGCAAGACCTCCTTTAGGTTTTGCCATTAAGAAAAAGGTTTCAAAGTCAGAATCACCCTGAGTTTTATGCCAAAAAATCCTGGAACTTTTGTCCCAAGTTTTATTCGTTTTCTCTACTTCAACGTCCTTTCTGGACCACTATTCAGACTTCATAAATGATATTGTCTATATATCTTTCACGATCCTCCTGCCAGCAATCACCAAAATCCAAATGTTCACAAAGAACTAATTAGAACCGTCTTCTTTCCATGTAAGCATTAAATGTACATTAGATATATGACACCTTCCTTTGTCAAATATAATGTTTCTGTATTATGAGATTATATTATGTTGACCATGCATCTTTATACATCAAAAAATTTAAGAAAATGATATACAAAATCACAAATTATATGGACGTATAAAAATGATTGATTGATGTACCAATTGTAAAGTACAAACTCATATTTCCACTTATTTCTGATATGGCTAATATTGAATATGTGATGTTTTGGGAAAAATTAAGATTTGGCAAGAAAACTTAAATGGAACACGATTAAGATTCAAAACTTTACCACAACATTATCCCATGAGAATATAAGCCCATAAGCTTCATCAGGCTTCATGGCATACCGAATTCTTTGAAGAAAACGTTCTTGCAATCTGTCATTTAAAAAGTCCTATGTAGCACACAAAACAAGAGTAAGATAAAAATACATTTTCTCAAGATGTTTAACCACAACTACACCGCTAATGTCAAGAAACAAGCAAAATAGAATATATAAAATACATTCGAGGCTGCTTACCACATCAACTTTAAGGGGGCCATCTGGTCTAAATGTTTCAAAACCTTCCCCATATTCAGCTCCAATTGCCTAAATACATCAAATTAAGACCAAGGTTTATAGATATAATTAATTCCCGAAATGCTTTAGGTGAATTCAGGTAAACATCGCATGTCTATAGGAATATTCCAGTACGTGTGCCCGCACACAAAATAATTTCATATTCACTACCAGCAATTTAATCAAGTAAATTCTAGGTATAAATTGCTAAATTTGAATTACAACCCCGAACTTAAATCCAAAAGGTTCAAAAGTTCAATACGAAAAATTTGTCCCTCAGATTAAAATCCAAAAAGTTTTCTGCAATAATAAATTCAAATAACTAGCAAGGTTAAAGAAAAGCTAATACGAAAGAGAAAATTAAGTCCACCGGTCAGAGAAAAAAAAAATACCTCTTCCATGAAAATTTTATTTGGTAAAACTGGAAACCCATTAACTGACTCATTTTCATCCGACCCACAAGCCTTTATAATCAGTACACTTTGATTTTGATGCTTATCTGCTAAGTTCGAACGCTTTAATCGCTGTTTTCAACAGAAAATAGAGTTATGTTAATTAGAGAAAATTAACAATAAATATTGCAATAAAAAAATATAGAAAGAAGTAAACCGTTAATCTGAGTGTAGCTGGGAAATGAAGAGAAAAGGACGTCGGAGTTAGAGGGAGAAAAGAGGAGCTTCTTAAGCTCAAAGAGGCTTCCATTTTTAGCGCAGAAGGAGCTGTACAGTACAGCACAACTCTGGTGAATGAAGACGCTGTTTATTCTGGGCTTCCCTGTCTTGCAATATTTGGGTAACGGATAAAGAGCCCGCTGTTATAATCTTAGTGGGTCTTAGCCCATCCATACATTCAGTTTGTAGGCCCATTCTGACCCGACTTGCTAGAGGGGAGGGTTAGTTGTTGTTTTAATTACTTACCACGTACTCTAAGTATCCACATATTGCATATTGTGGTCCTCAGTCTTCTGCCTATTAGAACTTAGGTACACCATTTTCAGATTAGTCCATTTAAGTCCTCACTATTTTGGACATATCACAATCAGCTCCAAACTTCCAAAGTTTTGCACTTTGATTCTTCAAATCAGCTCCCTCAAGTACTGAAAATGTCAAAGTTGACCCCCAAGGGTTCTCATTCACCTATTTGGTCCCAAAACTTCCAATCAAGTCCCCAACATCCCGGTAGCTATGCAATTCCACCATTTTTGCCCCAATTAAGCTCCAGGTATCTTCCATTTTGCTCAATTCATCTTCAAATCGGGATTTTAACCTAGAAAGCAACATATACATTAAAATAAATAAAATGCTACTCGAATTAATCACTTTTAAGTAACTTTAAAAATTCAACTAATCATGTGAAACAAATTTATGACTTATTCATTTGCGATGTTTGGTTGTATCACAATCAAATTTTAACTATGAAATTCTCATCGTATAATCACAACATTTAATGTCACCAACTTGTAGTGACCAATTTATGTTCAACTTTTTTAATGTGACTGATCAATGAGTGATTAAATTTACCTACACTAAAGCTAGCACATTTAATGCCATTTCACATATGTTTGATGCTTGAAAAATGAAATGTGAATGCAAAAAATGCATGTTACACTAGCTAGTTCCGGCAATGTTGACCCAACATGTGAAGCTCTTTAAAAATGTGTGTGGGGAATTTAAAGTTATCCATGCCTTGGAAAGAATAGAAATATTGTTCACGGCAACAAGTCACACTGATCTCTAGGATTTGGTAAATGAACAGCTTGAGGTAGAGGGTTTGGGAGACAGCGATGTGCATGGACCATGTGAGTATGAGTGTAGCTCCGCAGATCGCTCATCGAACAATATGTTAATTGAATTTTTAAAAGGGTTACTTTACTTTTTACCTTCTTAGATATTTGTATCGACTAATCCTAACTTGAGATGGTAAACAACTTTCATGTTCGATTCAAAGAACACTTTTTTTTCCCACACCGTAAATAGTTTATTCTTTCAATCAGCTAATCACTAAATATTGAATACAAAGATCTCAATTAATTTAACTAATTGTTGTTATATTTTTGCAAATAAAGGCAATTAAATTTAAGTGTTAAACTTGGATAACTTATTAGAATAAAATATATTATTTGTTTTGGATCATAATTGAGATTGTGCATGTCACGAAGTGGGATCATCAACTCCGTGTGACGTATCTTTATCTATAAATAATGAAATCAAACCACAATATCACATTCTATAGCTGAATATCAATGTTAAGAGTTACTTTTTAAGTTGGTTTCATCAAACGGAGTCTCTTAACATTACACACTACATTAGTATCGAGGAGCTTTTGATCCAATCAAATCATTTATGTATAAAATTCTGTTTATAATAGAGTTTGAATGTCGACAAATACTAGTAAGAACAAGATCATAACTACCTTATATATTCTCAATTCTAAAATGAGTTTAGTTCGATTTTGATTCGACTTGAGTGGGGTTTAACTATTATTATTATTATTATTATTATTTTTGAATTGAACCCATTAATGTCTAAATGCTACAGGGCAACCAAAGTAGATCAAATTTTCCGCAGATGAAACAACTTTCTAGAAATGTGAATGGACAACACACACTTCTCATTTATTATCTATTTCCTCACTTGTAACCAAATTAGGTGCAAGCAACGTGCAATGCACGTTTACTTAGTTTATATTTAACACGTTTGTTTAATAATTAATTTGTTATTAATAAAGATGTAATTTTTTTTTATTAATTAAGGGTGTGTCTGGCGCGCTGCAAGGAGGAAGGAAAATTGATTATGTTATCCTTTTTTTTCAAACCTACAGCCCTACAGTGAGAGAATTGGTCCAAAATTGCGGCTCCCAACGACATGAATTGTGTCGCCAATGGCTTGATTTCTACTAAAAAGCAGAAACAGACACCCTATAAATAATTAATGATGTAATGTTTATGTAATTGATAAATAATTAGAAGTGTGATTTTGATATTGTGGTGTAAGTTGGTGAGATTGAAGAAAATAAACAAAAGTAGACAAATTTGGAGAAATGGCTAAATTCTAAGGGATCCAAAGTTCGGGGCTAAGATGTAAATACTTAAAAGTTGTGCCCAATCTCACGGATAAAGGAAGATGTCAAGGGGATCAAATTTAGTCAAAAGATGATCACAAATCAATTTTCAACCGAAAAGTTATGCTTCGGTGTTTTAAAATCTCACGGATAAAGGAAGATGTCAAGGGGATCAAATTTAGTCAAAAGATGATCACAAATCAATTTTCAACCGAAAAGTTATGCTCCGGTGTTTTAATCTCATATTGAGACCTATTTTTGGCATAGGAAGTGATCGCATTGGAGAATGATGTCTGAATTAAAGTTGTAACCAGATGAGTTAGTTTTCCAATGCATTTTGCATCGCCTCAATAGGACATTAGAATACAAAGTTATGATAAAAATACTGAAAGAAGTGCAGCTGCCTGTTTAAAACAAGAAATTCCGTTACATAGTCCGTTATATTGAGACCTATTTTTGGAATATAAAGTGGTCGAATTGGAGAATGATGTTTGAAACAAAGTTGTAACCAAATGAGTTAGATTTCCAACGCATTTTAAATTGCCTCAATCGGATATCGGAATACAAAGTTATAATAAAAATACTGAAAGAACGTACAGCTGCATGTTTAAAACAAAAAATTCTGTTACATAGTCCGTTATATTGAGACATATTTTTGGCATAGAAAGTTATCGAATTAGAGAATGATGTCTGAATCCAAATTGTAGCCAGATGAGTTAGCTTTCCAACTCATTTTGAATCGCCTCAATCTGATATCAGAATACAAAGTTATAATAAAAACATTGAAAGAAAGTGCAGCTGCCTGTTTAAAATAAGAAATTTCGTTACATAGTCCGTTATATTGAGACCTATTTTTGGCATATAAAGTGATCCAATTGAAGAATGATGTCTAAATCAAAGTTGTATCCAGATGAGTTAGCTTTCCAACGCATTTTGATTCTCTTCAATCGGATATCGAAATACAAAGTTATGATAAAAATACTGAAAGAAGGTGCAGCTGCCTGTTTAAAACAAAAAAATTTCGTTACATAGTCCGTTATATTGTAACATATTTTTTGGCATAGAAAGTGTTCGAATTGGATAATGATGTCTGAATCAAAGTTGTAGCCAGATGATTAGCTTTCCAAATCATTTTGAGTCGCCTCAATCGAACATCGGAATACAAAGTTATGATAAAAACACTGAAAGAAGGTGCAGCTGCCTATTCAAAACAAGAAATTTCGTTACATAATTCGTTAAAACAACAAATTTCGTTAAATATGCACTTTTTATATATAGATAGATATATAATTTTTTGTTCATCACTGACAATCTGATGGCTGGAACTAACCCACGTCCACACCCTTATCAATGGTCAAAATACACTAAGATAATCTAGCAACCGGCCAAACGTTTAATAAATTAACTTAGTATATTTTGTGACAGATGAAAATGTTAAACAGTGCTATTCATGACTGAATCGAATCATCATGTGTAAAAGTGTCCTACAAAAATGAAGTCGTTATTTTAATTAACTTGAACGAAGAGGGCAAACCACTTGCATCTATTCAGATTCTCATCTCTACTTCAAATGGCCACTTGGAAGAATGTATTACAAGTTTTCTAGATGAAAATTGTCGAGTTTGAATCACATCGAGCGATAGCTATGTTCGTTTTCCAAATTGCTCAGTGTCACGTGAATTTGATGTTTTCTTTTCAAGTCAAATTGTTGCTGCCACTGGTTTTCAAAATATATAACGTGCTGCACCTTACTGAACAACGTACACAAAATCAAGAACCCGTGAGACACAACCCCATTTTTTTATATACAGAACTTTATAAAGTAAAAACTAAAGTAGTTATTATCGCATATTTCGTTGTCAATAGTAATATCTTGGGTCCATCTCTGAAATCAATAATCGATGAGCATAGGCTCCGGGGATTAACTTTTTAATATTATTTTCTTGAACTCTAGACCGATAAATAAATTAATCCAGAACAATGTCCAACGCAAAACTCTAAGCTGGATTTCTCTCTACTTTCTTCAAATCCACTCATTTTTCAGATCTTGAGGGAAAACTTTTCCTCCCAAAGGAAAATGGCAAAACCAAATTCATCAAATATGCTAACTGGGAATCAAGATTTTACTCCCAAATTCCTCCAAATAAAGCAGGATGACAAATTTTTCTCTAGGCTCTTGTCCAAGGAGAAAAACTCCTCTCCCTCCTCCGTGGCCTGGGATTCATCATTCAGAGTGTCTTATTATGGTGGCGCTGGCGGTTCTGTTCCATTCTTGTGGGAATCTCAGCCGGGCACCCCTAAACACGCATTTTCAGGCAACCCTCTTCCGCCGCTTACTCCACCACCTTCTTATAAATTTAGCCCGAACAATTCCATGCAGAAAAATAATACCAGAAACTCCAAAATGTTTTCTTCCATTATTCCAAGAAGTTCTTCCAAGAAAATTAACATTTCGCCATCATTTTCATCGTCATCATCGTGCTCTTCATCATCCTATTCAGCCTCATCCACGCCGATGAATTGGCCATCAAACACTCGAAAATATTCTAAGGCAAGTTCAACATCAGCTGTCCATTCCGGGCTATACGAAGAGGGACAAGAATCAATTTCTCCCACGTCAACATTGTGCTTTGGTAATAGAAATGGAAGTTCCAGCAAGATTAGAAGGCAGTACTACCCCATGAACAGTGTGAAGAGGGCATTCTTGTCTATTGTTGGCTATGCTAATTAATTAGAAATAATTATATGTGGTGTTCGTCTTGTTCATTTTCTATGTCAAAAGGCAAAGAAAGAAATTGGGTCGATTCAAAGGTAAATTTGACCTCAAGTGAATGAAATCTGTTCGTGTTTTAAATAATTGTTTAGTTTTACTTTTTTATTTTTTTTCCTCAATTGTATTTTTTTAGTCTACTTCACGATGCGCCGACAGTTCCAACAATTTTTTATTATTATTTTTTTTTTGCGGGGTGTGGTGGGGTGGGGTACATGTCTTGATGTGTATATATAGAGACCTTTTTTGTTCTTTTCAAAAATTGCAGAAATCTTGCTTCAAATTTGTTTTTCTTTATATATATATATATATTCAATTTTTAGCCTTTACTTAGTACTATATATGAATTAATTTATTATTAAAATTACAAATTGTATTTACTTATAATTTGTTTTCTTCATATTTTTTATTTACACAATATTTATTTTGAAATAAAAAATCAAATATATTAAAGCCAAAAGATAAGTTGTAAATATAATTTAATATGACTTAGAAATCTGTTATAGAAAACAAATTTAAGGTGTGTTTGATGGATATTATTGAAGAAATAATGTATTTTAAATAATGATATGATGTGAAATATATGGTTAAAAAGTAAGGAAAAATTATTTATGTGATGAAAAATATTATTTTATTGAAAAATGTGTAGTTGAAAATGAATTTTGAAAGAATGTGTACCAACCAGGGCTTTAAAGATAATTTTATATTTTTTAAAAAGGAGAAGAAGTGTATCTACAATAATTAATAACCTTAAATTGTTTAAATTTAAAGTATAAAGAAAGATATCCACCCATGAAGGAGCACAAATTTCTGTCCAATCTGCAAGGGTAGATGTGAAGTTTTTTATGGTTGGTATTTAATGTCACATAGATTTTAACCTCCTAGATTATTGATATAAAATTTAAATTCTTCTTATGTATGACCAATCTCATTAATAACCATTTCCCATAAGTTATTTCAGATATTTTGTACAATACTAAGACATTTGAACTAAAAAAAATTAGAAAGTAAGCTATTCTTCACTTTGATGTGCCACTTGAAAACTTTGTCAATTTCTTGTAGTTGATGGTCATGTATGTTTCACCACACATGACCTTAGTCTCAACAGCCTTAAGTGAAATATTAGAACACACCCAAAAAACACCATGCAACTATATCGAGAACTGGTTCGCGTAAAAGGAATATGCTATTTGTACATAAAAATACACATAACATTTGACATAATAGCCAAATGGCAGCCCCCTATTGGGGGGAGTGCCTGTGGGCCCAGGCGCCCCCCAATAGGGGGCTGCCATTTGGCTATTATGTCAAATGCTATGTGTATTTTTATGTACACATAGCATTACTCCGCGTAAAAATGGATGTATTGATTCATATTAGAATGCACTTAAAACGCTAAAGGGAGTTAATCATGTACGAGCAAGTTTTTCAACAGTACTAGTGTCAAGGTTAAAGATCTCCGTCCTCGAGTGATTTCTTGATCTTCAATGGTAGTCATTGACGTATTGATTGCGGATGAAGGTGGGGCAGGTATGGGCTTTACCCCAGGCCTGCTCCCAAGCTCAAAAAATTTAAGTTAGATATTTTATTTTTGTCCTCCCTAGCTCCATCTCTGTTCACGTTAGAGTGCACTTGAAACACTAAAGGGAGTTAACCATTTACAAACAAGTTTTTCAACAATACAAGTGTGAAGGTCAAAGATCTTCGTCCTCAGGTTATTTCTTGATTTTCAGTGGTACTCGATACGATTTCGGGACACCTTTCACCATTAAAGTCGTAGCGTCAAATGATATCCATACAATGGTAAAGCAAGGTATATATGCACCAAGATGAAAAAGATCGCGATTTTGGAAGAGTTGCAATGTTACAAGCTATTCGTACCGAGTAATAAATTATTTACTTTCTTGCGAGATGCATCTCTAATGTCACATAATGGCCGCAGACCATGGAAATAAGACTATTGGAACAAAGATGGTAAAATGGTCGAAATATTACATTATTTAAGCCCCATGAGAGTCGGAGTGCATGTATAATTTTTTGAGAAATACTTCTTTCCATTATATCCGCACAAACGTAATCAAACCTAACACATTTTACTATATCTACACACCGAACCCTAACACCTTGACCCGGCAATGACAGTTGATCACTACCACCAAACTCGAAATTGAGCCACTTAACTATTGTTTCCAAAGACGGCTCAAGTAATTTAATGGCCTTAGGCAAAATATCTAAGGGGACCTTTCAAGAACAATAATAAAAACTTTTAATGTAGTAAATAATCACAAACTAAATTTTTGTGGGGGATCATATGAATGCTAGTATATCGATTGGAATCAATATTTTTTGGCAATTCCACGGCACCATTAATGGTCATCGACTTATTTTCATGAGCGAAAACCGACAACAATAATGTTAATGATGTTGTAGGGGAATTACCAATGGTGCTTCGTCAGCTGAGGCTATGATTGCTGGTGATTCTGATAATAAATATGTTGGTGAGTCAAGTGGGCTATTAACAATGATATTATTAGTGATCATCGACACACATTCATCGGAAATTATCGACGAATACCGCCAGTGAGATTATCGGGAATCGCCAATGGTTCTTCAGTCACACTTTTTTTTTTTTTTTTTTNTTTGTTTTTTTTTTTTTTTTTTTTTTTTCTATATTTCTTATCTTTTAAGATATTAATACACAAGTTAAAATATCTTTTTAATCTTTACTTCTAATAATACCGTCTTATAATTTACTTTTCTAGCTTCTATTTTGTTCTTGACAGGATTCTCGGTTAGTATTTAATTTTAATATCTTTATTAATTTTTCATTGACGAAACTTTTTTTGGTAGCCTAAATTTGTTAAACTATTTATCTTTGTTAAAAAAGTATTCATAATCATTAAATATATCAATAATTACATATATGATTTCTTCATGAGAAAATTATAGGTAAAAAAATATATTTAAATTTTAGAAATTTGAAACCATTGATAAATTGGGGTCCTAGGTGCCCCCTAACCTAATGCTCGAGTAAACTCTACGTATTTCATAATATACAATGTGTTGCACCTAAATTGTAACAAACCGTTTTATCATATGTAATGTCCGCTTTGAAAGGACATCGGTCATCTTACGTTTTCACAACTTTTTGTAGTGTTATGCAGAATTCGAATACAAGATTTCTATTTTATGAGAGACTTAAGCTGAATCCTGATATTAATTGGTACCAGGACAACTGTCATCTTTTGCATTGGATGCAGTTGTTGCATATACATTCATGGCTTTTGGTAGAAGACTCTCAAAGATACTTCTAGATTCACGAGCTTTAAGGTAAAATACCTAGGGGGAAATACCGCAAAATTGTAGTTCTTACTTGACTAGAAAATGTTTTACTCGTCCAAGAAAATTTACAAAATAATTTAGCGAGGGTTTATATGCGTGCTTCTTTTTCAAAGCATCTACTTTTAGGGTCATCCCTCGTAGAGACGAGGATGGTGAGAACATATGAGAATAAAACAAATAAGCAACTTGTATAACTAGATTCTATTAGAAAAATGAAAGTAAATTAAAGCACTATACAATAACAAGCTACTATACACTCTATAGGTACTCAAGCACTATACAATAACAAGCTAAGCCATATATTAAAAAGACTAGGACTCGACTATGTTAAACCAATCTAGTGATACATCGATTAACATTGAATGACGAAGTGATCGATGAGATCATATTTTGATAATGTTAATAACAATTCAAAATATTTTAAATTTTAATATTTGGAAACTCGATTTTTTTTTTTTTGCTTATTATTTCGTCCTAGGAAAACACTATATTTGAATAAACAAGCATGATGTAGTGATGAAGCACAATTCTCTTCTTTGACTTATTCACAGTCGTATAATAATTCATGATGCCGATAAGGAAATTATCTACGATTTCAATATACTTAGGAATTTACAATTAAATTGACTAAGTTAAATTAATCTGAGAAATTAATAAAGATCTCAAATTGTTTTTAATTATACTTCCAATTGCGAAGAAGAATTCCATTGAAAGTGATAGTTGGATATTATTCCAATTATTCTTGTAATTTGACCTTCAAAGACTGGAGTGTTTTGGTTGTTTCAAATAATTGAATATAAAGGATAATGTCGAAAATAATACTTACAAACAAATAATTATATATACTACCAATTTTCACTTCTAAGAAGATTTCACCATAACATGATTATTAGAAGTGATCAGTCTAAAGGTCGTTATAATACATTCATCATAATCTCTATAATAAGAATGTTTGGTGGGGATTAAAATTAGATTTTTAATGGATTGTGATAAAGTTTTTGAAATGCGTGATTGAAAAGATGTGCGACCCATGAAAGATATAGTTAATATTAATTGTTTAATTTTAAATTAGATTAAAATCAGATTTTAATCATGCCCAAACAGGGCCTAAAGGTAACACTGATAGTTCAAATAATGATGTGTTCGGTTGGCTTTATTCATTTTTAACTCTACGATTGGGCTTCCAAGATCAAGAGTATCAGAAATCTAGGTAATCAATTAGGGTTTCCAGATGGAAAAATATTGATTATTATCATATTCATAAATTAAAATGGATAGATTTAGAATTGGGTGAAAAATAGGGTGAGACATGGGGTAAGCAATAGAGCGAGTTATCTGCCTTAAAATACGGGTCAAACAAGAATCCATGGTGTCATTTCCTTGCAGTTTAAGGAAATTTATACATAAATTAATGTAGGATCCCTAAAATACCCCTTGTCTTTTATTATTTCCCTCCCCATCATCACCCACCTTGAAATAACGTTTCACAAAGTCTTGGCCAAGCAATTCTTGCTATCTGCCTGTCATGTCTTGCATCCTACTCACAATTTTTACCCTTTTGCTATCCTCTTTAATTCTTAATATTTTAATGACTTTTTTTCTAGGGACGATTGCCAATGGTACAATTTAACGTATATTTAATATACAGTAATCCATAGAATTAAATTGTATAATGAACATGATTTTAGTTAATCTTATTGTGCCATTCATACCATTTATGAATACGGCTGTATAATTTGCTTCGCCTTTGCGAAGCATGGATTAATCTAGAAATTAAACATTGAGGGGAGAGCAATGGAGGTTTAAGATAAATTTAGTTGTTTTCGGGTATCGATTTATAACATTACTGACATACCATGATCTACTCATAATATTGCTACAACGTCATATTGTATTCTTAGTGATTAAAGACACCCTCTTTATGGATGATTATTTAGGAATTTAGTCTTCTTTTTTTGAGGCATCGATAACCAATTATATCACTCATACACCACGATGGGCTCATGATAACTCTACTACATTATTTTCTATTCTAAGTGATTAAAAACAACCTTATTACGGATGAATAGTAAAGAACTTGTTCTTTTTTTTTTTTTTTTTGAGATATCGACCAATTACATCATCACTCATACGTCATCACAACGCTACTACATTATATTGTATTGTATTCTAAGGTATTGAAAACAGTCCTAAGTAAGTAACAAAGTAAAAATAAATTTAGTAAAACAGAAGTTGTTAAAAGATACTGTAGAACTTTTGCAAACTTTCCATTTGTAGGTGAGACGTCTCAAATCAGGAAGAACGTTGTGTAATTAGTCATTATTCACTAAGACACTAATGTCTCTGTAAAATAGTAGACCAATTCCTCTTGAAGGTGCACCATCGTTTTCTGCGAACATCACTGACAATGTTGTCTACGTTTTGTGTTAATTGACTAAACATGATTAACCAAGTGATTAATTACATTCTTATGAACTGCAAATTTGAGTTAGTCATACGTTGTGGTTAACTCAAAAATGATTCCAAGAGAAAAAAATCAACTTAAAATGTGCAGATTAATAATCTCCATGTAAATTTATGGTAGTTAAACTGTTATTCATTCTTATATTAAATTAATTGTGCATAATTTAACACTAAGATTTTAATAATCAGAAATTGATTTTGGAGCTAAATCGGCGGCCAAAACAGTCAATTCAATGAGAAAACTTTCTTGAGATGGACAAGAAACTAATAATGCCTGCACTTTGCAAGTATGCTTTCCACTTCAAATTGTTAAAAGTACGATTTTAATTATATATAACATGCATTGGATCAATATTTTGTTTAAAAAAGATGTGCATTTATGTCTCTCTTAAGACACTGTCCACATGCATCAATGGAGGAACAATATGAAATTCAAGCTGAATGGAAATGGCCGCTCCAAAAGTCAACACTAGTAAAGACTCACACGTGAGCATTACATGACAAATCTAAACCCCCCCCCCCCCCCCCTCAACCCCCCCAAACAAGGCCTTAGTATTCTAATGTCTATGGTAAAAAATAAATGAATGATACTATTAACTTTAATTTAATTTTGGTTCTATTTTTATCGGGAAAAATTCATGGATCTGGTTTTAAGTTTCACCAATGCAAAAATCAGGTTTCAAGTTTAAAAGTTGCAAAAATCAGGCTTTTAATTTTTATTTTTTTTAAAAAAAATAAGGTCACAATTATATGCATTTTGGTCACAGNAAAAAGAGAGGAGAGAAAAAAGTTGGTGGAGTGAGCAAATAATTGTCTGTTCTTTAGTTTTTACTAGTGTTCAAAACATGGAATTTTACTTTTAATGTACAGTTGTTGACATTGATGAACGATGTTTAAGCTTTAATGGAACCAATCCTTCAGTGATCTTTCTAGGGTTAGTCCATCACAATTGATGTATTATTCATATTAATTTTAATAATTGTTGTTGCATATATGATTTGCAGGGAGAGATTTGAGGAGATAGGGAAGAAGATCAAGAGAGAATCTGACGCCTTCTCTCAAATGGGAAGAAGACACATGTTGGGGCCTCCCGGAACCCTAAACACGATCACGCCATGTGCGGCGTGTAAGCTTTTGAGACGACGCTGTGCTCAAGAATGTCCCTTTTCTCCATATTTCTCCCCACATGAACCCCAAAAATTTGCTTCTGTTCACAAAGTTTTTGGTGCAAGCAATGTTTCTAAGATGTTGATGGTAAACCCTTTCTCTTATTCTTGATAATTAACATTCCTATTTTAGATTTAATTAATTTTCCATCTTTTATTTAGGTCTTAACTATAATAGTTATACCGAAATCAAATCGTGATTATTATTTTTTTTTCTTCTGTATGTGATTATGGTTGATAACCAGGAGGTTCCAGAGAGCCAAAGAGCAGATGCTGCAAATAGTCTTGTTTATGAGGCTAATGTGAGGTTAAGAGATCCAGTTTATGGGTGCATGGGAGCAATTTCTGCTTTGCAGCAACAAGTTCAATCTTTACAAGCAGAACTAAATGCAGTAAGGGCTGAGATACTGAAATACAAGTATAGAGAAACCAATATCATTCCATCTTCTCACATAAGCCTGCTTTCTTCTGGGGCTGTTTCGATTGCTGCACCACCACCTGCCCGGCTTCCACCACCTCCTCCGCCTCCACCACCTCCTTCACTTCCTCTAACATCGTCGTCTTCTCCCATGTACACCCCACCATCTACTGCTGCTGATTTTAGCTCCATTTCAAATGATAATATCACCTATTTTGGTTAAATTAATTCCTAGTCTTCCTATTTGTTTATACTTATTAAACAAAAAATAAATACAATTACTGGTGCTATTAGTGTTGTTGAGATTTTAAATTATGTATAAACTTCCTTTTAATATATTATATTTCTTTTTAATTTAATACTTGTCAAAATTCCCTTTTAGCAGTCATGAAAAAATCAACATAAGCACAAATAATACATGCCCCTTTCTTACTCAAATTCTATGAAAGAATTGCAATAAACCTAAATGTCATATGCAGTGGCATTTTGAAGTTAAAGAGGAAACGACGATTTTTCCAGCAAGGCCTCTGGTGTTATCTGCTGTACAAACTGATTGATCGTACATTATTTCTGTACATGTTTGTCTGTGCCAGTTAAGGATATAAATGCTAGTATATGCTCGGTTGAGAAAATTAAGGTATGGTTATGTGTCCCTCTACTTGTTTATCAGAAACTTTTATATATACTGATAGCAAGAGCAAGAGAACATGCTACTATTGATGGTTATTGCTAGGATACTAGTTTCATTGGAATTCACTAATAGACATAACGTGTAATGCCTGCAACATTAGCTGCTAATTTCTTTTGGAAATTAGTTTTGTTGTCCAACTTTGGTTATATTATACTTAGCCCATGTTTGATGCTCGCTATTTCATCAAAATGAGTTTTGTAATGGTGAATTTTTAGAGAATGTATGATTAAAAAGTAGAAAAAATTATGTGTTAAAGTGCAAAATATTTTATCGCGAGAATGTGACGTAGAAAATAAGTTTTAAAAAAAAATGAGTTTTTGAAATAATGAGAATCAAACAGGGTTTACATTAAATGATTAATTAGTTTTTTCTTAAGTCCATCATATTTCACGTTGCCTTTCTTCGAGTTGCCTTCTTAGAACTAAGCTTGGGTGGTGTTTGGTAAGTAGTATATTTATTAAAATAAATAATTAATATATATGGTTTGAAGAAGAAATTTGAGGTTCGACTCGGTGCAACCAAACACAGCTTGACAGGTGACAGATATATCTGGTGTACAATATTTGTTTTCCTTGGCGTGCAGAGTTCAATCTTTGTAGGAAGGGAGGTGAAGGAACCCATAATTATATATGTTCATTTCTTTGCCTATGTTTTGCTTTTCACTCTCATTACATGTGCATATAAAGATTAATTTCAACATCTCTCACATAGAGATGTGACTGAATTTGGTCCGATGTCTAGGTTACTTCAAATTGTGGCATCTTACTTGTCTCCACACTTTTTGTCCAAAAATATTTAGAAAACAATTATTTATTCTTTCTTTTTCATCCCTCAACATCTCATGGTACAGGTTTATGCAACATTAATAAGCTATGGAAACTGCATGTTAAGACAAATTGCAATAGATTAAAAGAAAATTCTAACCCAAATTAGGTTTAAACTCCCTCTTCTGTGCTGTGCAAGCACTGTGGTTATCACATCGTAAATCAATGGAAATGGGGAATAGAAAGTTATTTTCTTTGAGATTTAATATACAATAATCACTTAATATATACTTGAGTGTAGACTAAGTATTTTCTGTGTCTATGACAAGCTATGGACAATAGATACAAAAACTTCTCCTTGGAATACCTTTGATTTAGTGGTTTATTAGTCTCTGTTTTGTCGCACATCGCATGTAGATTAGAAGGTAGTCTCTAGACATTATGCAATGATGCAATTGGACGCTAGTTGGGATATAATTATTTTCTATTTTTATTTATATATTTATTTTACTTTAGTTATCTTTTGCTAGGGATTGTTTGGTCCTTGAGACAACCTTAAAGAAAATGCAATTTCAAAAGGAGATGTACATATAAATTTCCATCAAACCTTGTATGGAAACTGTTGAAAGGACGTATATGTTTCCAAAGGCAAGAACACATAGAGAACGACAACTACTGGAACTTATCTTATCCTTGCTCAGAAAATAGTGGAATATTCTTCAAAGAAGATGATGATTTTTTGTTGGAAAAGAGTAATGTTTTTACACCAAAACTGTATGAGAGAAATTTAGAAATGTGTTTGGAATAAAAATGAAATTAATATTGAAGTGTGTGTGGCTATTGATAAAATACACTTATTTGGGTCGAAAATATAGACATTTAATAGTTCTTTTGATTAATTATAGTTTAATTTATTGTATATTTCGTTTATTAGGTAAAACCCGATGATGGAAGCTAAATTGAAAGAAAAAATGAAAATTGGCGAAAAATGGTGAAACCAAAGTTCGAAACCAAATTGTAAATATTCAATAGTTGATTCGGATCATAAAACAATAATTGGAGAGTGCTAGAAGTCAATTAGATGCAATTAGAAGTCAAAATGGGTGAAATACGATCAAAATATTTTTCACAAATTAACTTCCAATTATACAAATTATGTTCGAGATTTTTATTTGGAGACCCATTTTTGACATAGTAAACATTTGAATTGAAAAAAATTGATATTTCTAAAATAATTGTATCTTTTTAAATTAATTTTCCAACGTACTTTGAATCAATTCAATTAAATATCGGATGAGAAAGTTATTGCAAAAATACTCACTGTTGCGCATGGACATAACAATGTGCGATGTGAACGCAACTTTTCTTATTTGACTGATATTTTTTGGAACCCAATATAGACGTGATTTTTTTTTAAATCTAATTTTCACTCTCTATATATATACAAACATGGGCAGATATTGAAGTACACTTCTCATACACTATTATTCATATATTATAATCATAAAAGAAAGGTCAATCCATTGTTCTTGTCAGAATTAAGGCAAGTTTTCAAGAAATAGGAGTTTCAACCTTGATTTTTGGAGAGAAAACAAGAAGATATATTGACAATTCATCATAAAACCATTGAAGATATTCAAAATTTCAAGATCAATCTTCTTCTTCATCAATTTAAAATTTGAGTTATGTTTTTACAATTAAACACGCTTTCTTGTAATTTTGTAATACTAGGCTAAGGTTTAATTATGAAGATATTGATAAACCATTACTATGAAGTTTTTAATATTAATTCAATAATTTGATACTTAATATATGTTTATTTTTGGATGATTGTTATAGGATCTAATATATTTATGATTGTTATAGGATCTAATAATTATAACAATTATTGTAAAGTTCGATAGAGATATACGCTATGCGTTGCATAATTTCTATACATGTTCTATCGTTTTTATTTTTGGGATAGAAGGAAAAAAATGTTTCTTTCAAGAGTAACAATTTGAGTTAGTGTCACCTTATGAACCTTTTATTCTTCAACTAATAATAGAAGTGTTGTATGACACGCATTTTAAGTTTAACTTAGTGTACATTTTATGATTTCATACCATTCTCGTAGCATCTTTTTGATATACTCATGCCACTCTAATATCACATTTTATCTTCTTTATTCGAACCTAAACACTAAGAATATCGACTATTTAGAGCAAATCAGTTCTCTACTTATATGTCATCTTATTTTTGGAAACGATTTTCCTAATTCTCATTCTTCTTTCAACTTTTGTCATATTTAGACCTGCTTTTATGGGCAACACTATTTCTATAATCAGATATTGAATGTCTTGATTTTTCACAATTTTTTTGCAAATTTGATTATGCATCGAATTCAAAATATTTGCATCCACCATTGCACTCACCGCAGGTCAACCCACCACCACGACCAATCTACGCCCAGCCCTAAGGTGATTCATCTTTGCTCAACAATTATATTAGGGTTTTTTTTTTTTTTTTTGCTTCAATTTCTAACTGGTTTATGTTAATTTTGCCTTTGGTAATTGGCTTAGTTTATTCTACCTTTTGTGGTTATAAAGTTCAGATTTTATTGTGTTCTTCAAAATTTTATGATTTTTTCCAATAAATTTTGGTATTAGTTAGTATATCATATTTGTCTTATGTTTTTTGTTTCTTGGTTTTGTTGGTTTATGAAATTAGGGAAAATTCAGGAAAAGTGGTGATGGATATCTAAACTTTGGAACAGAAGACTGTAAATGTTCCTTGTTTCAAATGAAAACAGCTGGTTTGCTAAACAATGTTGCCCTGGTTTTCATGCATTAATACTCTTGTTTTTCTGCTGCATGCCATGTTGGAGGATAAATTGACTAAAGCAAAGTGAGTAACAATAAATCGGTGTTACTTCCTTGGAGATTTGTCTGAGGCTGTAGGTTGTTCTTGTGGCCTAGAAAGTAGTAAGGTGAATTATGTTTTTCATTTTTTTAAAAACGTTTTGCTAGAAGGGCAGTGATATATGAACACATACTAGCAGTATACTTTATTTTTTATTTGTTTTAATTTTGGAGGTAACCAAATTTGTAAATAATACCTTGATCTTTATCCATTGTGTTGACAACAATATGAAATGTTTTACATTTAAAAGTTGCACGAATGATTATGGAATAGTAGATTTAACTACAAAAACTTGTTAGATAGAATTAGGTAACAAAACAATTTAGATAACAATTTTACATTTTGTAAAATAGAATATGCGGCATATAAATAATCACGAAATAAAGTAGGCAACAACTTACATCGTTGCACAAATAATGACGTGACAAACTTTCCGTGTTACAGAATAAATTCATTGTCACAAAATATGTTTTTATTCCGAATAACTAAAATATAGTAGTCGAGAAATGTGAAAATTCAGCCATTAAATCCTGAATTTTAAAAATTTGGTGGTGTATATATTAAGGGTGAGATGTCATATTTTAATTGGGGGGATAGCTTGTAAGAAGATAGTTTGGGACAATGAATTTGACTCTTAGGGTCCGTTTGATTGCGAAGGTGGAAAATGGGTGGAAAGAAAATGAATTCTAGGGAATTGAATTGCCTAGAAATTGTTTTACTGGGAATTATAATTTGTGTTTGATTTGTATAATTTTTCACCTGAAAAATGTTGAAAGTTTGGTGTCTGTTTGACTTTGTTTTTCATGAAAATTGTCTATTAAAGTGATAATTTCTTTTATCATTGAGTCTAAAATTTGTTTCACTTACCCAAAAAAAATTACCATACCGAATATCATTCATTTGGCTTTGTTTTGTATGTAAATTGTCAATAAAAGTGATAATTTTTTTTACCATTGTATCTAGAATTTTTCTCAATTGCCCAACAATAAAAAAAGAAGCTGGAAAATCAAAAACTGCAAAAACAAAAGGAAAACAAATTCATCTATTTGAAGGAAAAGAGGCGCGTGAGATAGCGGCTGGGAAAATTTTTGCAATCAAACAGGTAAAATACATAGAAAATTATTGGTATCAAACAAGGCCTTAATTCAATTAAACAAAATCTAAGCTCTGAAAAAAAATAAAAAATGTAAAGCATGGAATAAAAACAATAAAGATTCTTGAAGACACATCCTTACGTACAAATTTTATTTTTTATTTTTTAATATAGATTTTATTTGTATTTTTTGTGAATAATTTTGGTTATGTTACTGTTCAAGTACTTTCGGAAGCCCAAAGCATGAGAAATCATAATTGGGTCTTTTATTCAAAACATCATAGGATGAAGTCCATTCACGAACTTAATACAAAAGCACTCTACCGAAATGGTCCCAAATCTTCACGTAAAAGTAAGAATCTAGAGCTAAATAAAAAAAAACACCCCGAGGGCCCAACTCAAACAAGACAAAACCAAATTATCTCTCATTAGTTAATCCTTCTGCAGTTCTTCCTTATCTCTCCCTTTGATCCTGTGAGGGGACTGATGTCCCCCATTTTAATCATGGCGGAGGCAAAATCAGAGTTGAAGGTGTTTGGATTGTTGGCATATGTTGAAACGAATGAATTGGTGGATCCACCGCTTAAAAAAAGCTGTTGATCGGAGTGGAGGAGTCCCCTCTGATTCACAAGGTTCTTGAAATAATTGTTGTCAAAATTGGTTGGAGTCTGAAGATCCAAAGGGGCCAAATTGTTGTCCCCGGAACCACTGGCTCTTGGACAGTTTCCTTGCCTAGTACGTGCAAACGAAGCATCCAAGTTGGTTTCATTGTATATGCGAGCCCTAAAGCTGGTGCATCTTGCTTGTCCAATTGTATGAGAACCTGCAGGATTTGCAAAAGCATATATCGAGTTATGTTTCTACAATTTTTATAAATGGATGGCGTCGCATCTAAAAGCTTGAATATATAAGGAGATTAATAAAGGTAAGAAAATGGTTGGTAAAGAGTAGAGACCAGCTAAAGCAACGAGGTCCTTGGCAGAAAGTCCAAGAGCACTGAATCTTGAAGTAAGAGCATTAAGATTTGAAGTTGGAGGGGGGATGCCATTGTTTGCAGCAGCCCGGCTAGCTGTTCTTGCATCTCTTCTTCCAAGTTTTACGTTCCAATTAGGCCCTCCAAGCTGCAATTAGGATCAGACATACTATATATTGTTATTCGACCATAAATATTCTATATTCTGTTGTTGATAAAAGTGCTCTTATGACTCGAATGTATATATACTCTAAAGAATGAATATAATTTTTGAAGTATGCATGTAATTTTTTTTGTAGCCCAACTTACAGTGTCAACAGAGTCACGAGCAGCAATCGCCAATATATCAGCACAAGATACCACTCCTGGGCAAGCATTCTCGACAGCAGATTTAATGTTGTCAACAACATCAAATCCCCTGACAGAATTACGATTTGGAATTGCTGTTTTTTCTCCGGTGAAGGAAGAAGTATCGTCGAGGAGGACCGACCCGTCACATCCCTGGAAAGATGTCCATATCAAGATATATAAATTATGGATGTAAGATGTGTACTATAAGCTTATTACAAAATCATAACATTGGGTATATTTAATTCGTGGGCTATTCAAGAACTCGTTGCATGCCACTTGTTGCCAATAATTTGGTATTTATTCGCTAATTTGCCATTAACTTAGTATTCCTGATGCTGATATAAAGTAATAGATGCAGTGAGTGAAAGCTGTAATAAGAAAATTACATTGACGAAGCAATCATGGAAGAATAAGCGTAGGAGAGAGGCGCCCATTCGAGCCTCTTTCGATATTGCAGAGTTCACAGCGGATTTGACTGTGGAAAAAAGTTTTGGACAAGATTTTGAGTAAAAATTAGTGGAAAGTTGAGCTGACGAGTTTCCCACTAACAGAACAAGTATAGCCAAACAAATGGCATTCTTGAAAAGGCCCATTGGAAATTAAATTTGAAGAACAATCTAAGAAACAGAATTAAAAGTAGAAAGTGTGTTGTGCACATTGCAAGGAGAAATTCTAATGCATATATAGGCAAGTCGTGGACTGCTCTCTCTAGGTATTTTAGCCTCGGCCGGTTACCTAACTTGTTGACTTATATTGCATGGCATTTCAACTTTTGAAAGCATTGACGAAGTAAAAGTTAACTTATTGCTTCTTTTAACCAATGTTTTTTCTAGACAATCAATTGCATATAAGATGATTGCAACCTTATTATAGATAATATTCGAGACATCCCTATAATAATATGGGTAATTAACACCTGTTTGAAGCTCATTCTTCAACGCCAAAGTAGAAAAAAAATGATTGTTGGTTGAGAAAGTGGGACCCACCTATGAGACAAACGGTCACAAATGGTGGCTGAATTTGGTGTGTAACAGTCAAATAACATATTCTTTTAGTGGAACTGTGGAAGAATGAGCTTCAAACAGGGGTTATAGTGTCCTTATCTTTCACTGTTATTGTAGGTAATGTCTTTATCCTTCAATTTTTTGGTATTTTCACATTTCATTGTGCAAAATGTCCTTTTCATCCATTTTTTCAATTAAAAATCGTGAAATGACAAATATACCCTCCTATTTAAATAAAACAACAAGAAAAAGAAAGAACTAATTATAACCATAATCCCAATTGTTTTTAAAGTTAATTTATTTTATATTGGCGTTCATATTAAAATGTTTTATGCGATTATTTGTTAATCATGCCCTCATGGGAACACGAAGGATCGTGATAATTTTGTATAACATTTATGTTTAAAAACTATACATAATGAAGAATTATAATACAAATTATTAGTAAAATATCACAATTATCACTAAAGACATGGAAATGATTTACTAAGAACATTAGTCAGAAGTCTTTATATTTAAATATTAAACAAAACAATGATTTGATTGATTAAAAAGAGAGATAAAGCTGTAAAACTATAAAGTTAGATCCGCGTAAATTGAATGTGGAGTTTGTTTTGACTTTGTCGAGAAAAGTGACTCAATATTAAATTGAAATTACCGAATAGTATAATAATCTGGTGAAGACCAGCTAATAGATAAAAGGACAGGAGGACTTTTCCTGATATTTGTAAAAATTTGACTTATCTTGATTAAGTATATATATGGGGTTAAGGCTGTTGGATAAATTATGTTTTCAAAATCGACTCGGTCATTAATACAGAAAAATAAAATGACCAAAGGTCAAAATGTCGAATCAGGTCGACCTACACAGACACACTAGAAAAATAAGTGAATTTTCAAATTAATTAATATATAGAGACTTCTATTATCACAATAGAAAAGGAGGTGAAATGAAAAAGGAAACCAAATATTGAAATTCAAGAATTAGAATATGTTTGATCCCCATTTTTGGAGTAAAATGTATTACGGAATAGTTATTTTTTGGAAAATGTGTAGTTAAAAAGAATGATTTTTTTTATAATTATTTTAAGAGAGAATATGTAGTTGAAAATAAATTTTGAAAAAAAGTATTCTTAAAAAAAATGAGGATCAAACATAGGCTTAATTTATTTTTGGCTTTAAAGTTTTTTATACGACTTTTCAAATAAAATAGAACTTAAAACTTAAAAAAATTGAACTTGAGGGGATCAACAATCCCACATCGAGCAGTGAGTAAAATGAAATGTTAGAAAGCAGCTATAAAAATTGCTAGGATAAATTAGAGGCAACTTTTGGGCCTTATTTAGTAATTGGGCCTATGAAGCTTCAAATTCTTCTTAATTTAAAAATAAGTTAGCCAGTAAAATCGGTAATGGGTCAATTAGTTTTACGGTTGAACCATATAATTGTTTGATTTTTATTTTTATTTTTATTTTTAATTCAAGTGATTTTTAGTATGAATACTAGCCTTTGACTTATAAATTCACATTCACATTAGAAGCTTCCATTTGTTTATGTATTTACAAGGATGTTTTAGTTTATGACTCCCTCCTTCGACATTAATAATCATGATCGTTCTTTTGAAAAACATGAAGTATGATTAGCCGTGAGTGAGGTAAAACTCCAAGTTTTACGAATTTAGACGTAAAAAATTTTTTTTTTTTCAATATTTTTTTTCTAACATTATTAAATTAATAAAATAATCATACTAAACATAACAAATGAATACTATTATCTTTAACATTCAATTAATTTGAACATCTTATCTCATCCAAGTATTCTTTTAACTTGCAATGAAATGAGGGGAAAGAAAATACTTTGCAAACTGTTTTATTTATTTTTATTTCAGTTTTCTAAAATATGAGAGGCAAATACTTTTTTTTTATACCATCCTTACAAACTTTTCAATTGAAACTGTTATATGGGACAAATGTGGAAATTAATAGTGCTTTATGAAAAGAATTGAATCTCATGAGATGTATGATTGAAGATGAATTTTGAGAAAGAGGGGCCAAACAAAAGCCTAGTCGTATACAATTTGACTTAGACGAAAAATGTACGGTTGACAATTTGGGTTCTTTGAGGATGGTGTAGTGTGGGAGTTCGTGGTTGGGGTAAGAAGTGATGATTGTGATGATGGTGGCGGTAGTGGTGTTAGTGGAGGTGATTAATTTTGATAGCGATTGTGATGGTTACGTGTATGTTACACGTGTTACAAAAAAGTAACTCGTACTTTTTCTGTTATAGAAGTGTATGTAACACATGCTACACTGTAATAATATATTTATAAAAAAAATGTTGAACAATATTTAATTTACCCCTTAGATAGTCTCTATACTTTACATGTCACATATCGGCCTTTTAAAAAATTATTTTTTAATACATTTTAAATAAAATCAAGGTCCCAAATTTTACATAATCACAATAAAACGCTACATGTATACGAGTCAAGATGTGAAATTGTTACGTTAATAAAATCTTGACACCTCGTCACATTTTTGAAGTGACAACCTTTCAAATTTTAACATAATAAAAAAAAAAATTATCAAGCGAATATCAAACTTCATGGAAGACACGAATTTTTATAACCAACTTTTTTGACTTTAATCTTAATTTAGTTCAAAAGCATTCAATGAACCAACTACTTTGAATGTTTTCATTGACTTGAAACGCATTGGTAACTCAATCCCTAATATCAAAGGAAATGATTAGAAAAATGCTATTCATCCCCAATGAAAATACATCCTCAGTCTATGTGAATATAAATAATTGGTTAAATGATAGGTGAAATTAAATAACTTATTTAATTTCACATATCATTTAATGTCACATTAACGCCACATAAACTGGGGATGCATCCCCAGTGGAGATGAATAGCATTTCTCGATTGATTAACACATTCTATTCAACTAACACACTTTAATTTTTCGAATAAAGCTAGTTGTACAACATTTGTTGACAACTAGTTTGACAATCCATGTGTTGTCAAGATCTTGACCATCAATTTCAAAAATAGTTTTCTAAATGAAAGGATATGTTGTTTGACAAGTCACAGGTTGTAAAAGAAGTTGTAAACAAGATTGTACAAGTAGCATGACTCTAATTTTTCTTTCATATTTATTTTCTTTGACCGTATATTTACCAACCCCACCAAATAAAGAACAGCGGAATATATAGGCTTTCATGCTAGAATTCACTAATTACTATGTTCAACGGTTAATTTTTAAGTTGAGACTTTTACTTTATAATATAAAACCATCTTTTGTCGTACGTTAGAACTTGATTTTGGAATAATCGGTTCAATGATGTCCGAGCAGCGCAAAAACCACCCGACCATGAAACAGAAGGTGGTTTAGTTTCAAGGGTTTCTGATTTACCCATTTGGCATAGGCAGCGAGCACCTACTAGGGCTGGTGCTTGGCTCGGAGTACCCCTTTTTTTTTCATGTATGACATACATTCTTTAAAAAAACATTATTTCAAAACTCATTTTCAATCATACATTTTTCAATAAAATAATATTTTCTATCATATCAATAACTTTTCCTTACTTTTTAATCACGTATCACTATTTTAAAATATATTATTTTCTCAATAATATTCATCAAACACAAGTTGTTTCTTTTAGAAAGGCGTGTAACGAATAATGTCGGTCGGTCATGACAAAATTCGTATCCCCAAGTTTCGTTGCTTACCTCGTAAGTCATGAAACTGATTTTTAAATAATCGCATTTTGGCTGTTATCTCACGTTTCAACGAAAGGGAATCTCCCATTTTCTCCCGGTTAGGTGAACTGCTCTCGCTTTAATTGATTAATGATATATTTTGTCAATTATTCAGTTTGAACTTTCGACATATTCAGCTAAAAAAGGATCAGAGCTGCTTTCAATCAATCATTATTTTAGGGAGCAATTAGTTTTATTCACCATTTTTATATATTTATCTCTCTAAATTTATTTCTATTAATTTTTTTAAAAAGTATTATACTCGTCCACGTTACTTTCAAACATTATCCTTGTTAAATTCATTCATTTAAACGCTATATATCTTCACCACTTTTACATATAATTATCCCAATGTCCATGCTACAGTAAATGTTTTGAATGAAAATAAGCTCATCTCATACAAAAATCAGACTTGAATGACTAAAGAACGAAGCTTAGTGTAATGGAAAAAATAGTTCTATTTGGGCTTATTATTCTCATATATTTGGAATAATAAATTATTTAGAGGGTGTTTGGTGTGGATTAAAATTAGATTTTTAGTAGATTTTGATAGAAATTTTTGAAACGTATGGTTGAAAAGTTATGGGACTCATGAAAGATATAATTAATATTGATTGCTTAACTTTGACTTTGATTAAAATCAGATTTTAATTCGAACCGAACATGGGCTTAACAGAGGAGCAGGGATAGAGGCTCTATCTTTCTGGTGTTTTTGCAATGCATACATAGGGTAAGCAGGACAATATTCCTTTTTTTTTTCCCACGCAATTCACAAAAATCATAGAGATTCATTAAATATGTTTTGTAATCTCTTTAGATGTCATAC